CCCCTGGCTCTGCTGCACTTTCCATCTCCCCTCTCACCCCACCTCCTCCACCTCTTACTTCGCAACAGTGGACAGGAGGAAGCAGGGGCCTCATTTTGCAGAGGGACAAGCCAAGTCTCAGAGACAGGGAGAAACTTCCCGCCTGGCTGAAGCCAGGGTGGGGCTAAGGTGGGGCTGGGGACTGGGGTCATCCCCTCTGTCTGCCCCCACACCTAGGGTTTGCAGGGTTCGTGGCTGAGCACCCCTGGAGAGCAAGGGTCTAGGGCTGACTCCTGGCATCCTGGGCCCAGTGGCTGGGGGTGTCGGTGCTGTTGTACAGCAACATAGTCTGAGACTGAACCCCTGCCCCTGGCTGAGTCTCAGTGCCAAGGTGTGGGCATAGCCACTGAGAGCTGGGCCTCCCTCCTGCCCTCCCTTCATGCCAAGGTATGAGGGGCCAGAAGACAGTGTGAAGCCCCAAGAAATTACTCTTTGCCCCACAATCTTTGATCCAGGTTTGCGATGGAACTCTGTTTTAACCAGATCTTTCCTCTGACTCAGTTGAAGACTTTCTAAAATTTTACATTTTAAAATAATAAAAAATAATTTAATATGCCTGTTAATATGTGTATAGGACTATATTATAGAAGTATATAATTGTGCATTGTGTCATATAATAATATAAAATAATCAGACAAGTAATTTCTTGTAAATAATTTGAAAAAGATCAAGGGGATGCAAAGAGCAAACCTTAGAAATACTGGTAACGAACATGTTGGTAAAAATCCTTTTGCTGTAAATATAACTACAGGCTTTTTATTTGATAAAAAGGCATCAAACTAATATTGTTTTGTTGCTTGTGGGGGAGGAGGGAGGATGAGCATTTTCTGTGTCATTAAATATTCTTTAAAAGCATGTCTTAAAGCTTTCCCCCTTATTACTAAAGCTCTCCTTCAGTGCAGAGGACTTGTGGAAAATAAGGCACTAAGCAAAAGCAATCCATTATCTTTTTACTTTCTAGAAAGAACCTCTGTTAACATTGTGGTGTATGCCCTCTGGTATGTCCTTTTTGATTTTAATTGGAATTGCATTAAATTTATAAATTAATTTGAGGGGAACTGACATCTTTACAATATTGAGCCTTCCTTTCCGGGAGAAAGTTATGTCTCACCATTTATTCAAGTCTTCTTTTATGTGCCCCAGTAAAGTTTTGTAGTTTTCTTGATATAGGAATTGCACATTTATTGTAAAGTATTTTATTTTTTCCTTGTGGCTTTCGTGAATAGGGTCTCTTATTCTTTATAATTCCTCACTGTTTATTGCTGATATATGGGAAGGCTGTGTTTTCCGATAGTAGCGTGCCGGTCTCTCCATGTGTTCCCTGTTTAGTTCCTCCTGGGTTTCATCTGATCCTTGAGTTTTAGAGAACAGCAATAAGCATCTGCAAATAATATTGTGTCTCTTTGCTGATTGTACTACCATGGTTTGGTGTTTTTGCTTCATTACACAGTGATTTTAAAGTTCTGTTTTGAAGGGTGTTGTCACAGACCCTGAAGGAGAATAGTAAAATGCATCTTCGTGTGGCCACCGCCCCCCCCCACCCCACAACCAGCAGCCCACCCTCCCTCCCACCCTGTCTGCATGCTCTTTTCGTCCACCCCCTTCAAAGCAAGCCCCAGACACCACTCCATGCCATCCCATGCTTCAACTGTGAATGCCAGCAAATTCTGCCATATGGGTGGATCTTAATATTTTGAGTAATCTGCTTTTGGACATTACGTTGTTTCTATTTTTCTCAACCTTATGTCAAGATTATCCTTATACAGAAATATGTTTCTGTATCTCTAACTTTGTCTAAATTTATCTTCCTAGAAATGGAATTATTGGGTCATATGGTATTTTGATCATTTCTTTTCCTTTGAACACACACACAATCACATCATGACTTTTCTGATTAGAAATGTATCCCATGATCACTGCAGAACTTTTTGAAGATGCAGGGAAAAAAACACAAGGAAGGAAATGAAAGTCACCCATAATTCTGCCATCCAGAAAGAGCCCCTTGGCATTCAGGGTGTGCCCTTCCTGTCTGTGTGCATGCGCCCCTCACATTTATGCACGCTCACATGGACTACATGCACATCTACCATGTGTTACATGCCGTGAGCCTGCTAGAGCGTGGGTGGGGTACTGGATTTGTTCATTTTCAAAAACAGCTTTACTTTTTAATTTTCAAAATGATCGGAACACTCCAACACCCATCTCTTGGCAAGTGAGTAAAATGTGGTATAGCCCTACAAAGTAATATTATTTTACAATAAAAAGGAATGATACACTGATCCCTGTTACAACATAGATAAACCTCCGAAACACTGCTAAGTGAGAAAGCCACATGAATGTTTGCATTAATAGGAAATGTCTGGAAAAGACAAATCTCTATAGATGGAAAGTAAGTTACCTGGGGCTGAGGTGAGGACAGTGATGGCCTGACTGTCAGAGGACACAGGATGCTGACTGGGTGATGGGAATATTCAGAAGCTGGATTGGGATGGTGGTCACAGGACTCAGTACATTTACTACAAGCTTTGTACATTGAGGGTGAATTTTATGGGGTTTTTAAATGTAAATAAAGCCTTAGTGAAGTTGGCTTTGTTTAAAGAATAAAGGTGCATTCGGAAAATTTAATAAAGCATAAAAAACAAAATAAAAAATCAGGAAGGACTATTGTGTTGCTTTGAAATGTCTCCTATTATGTTAATAATAAAACTTCTGCCTCTTTTTCTTCTAACTTAAGGCACACTGCATCTTCTGCTTTATCACCTCCATTTTACATGTAAAACATATCATGGCATTTCCCAAATACTAAGTGTTGCCACAATATAGAAACACATAGCAAAGGGCAGTTCGTGTACTATCTCCCTGTGTTGACACTCCCAGACCCCTCTCCCATGTGGCCTGTGGCTCACTGTCACTGCTGGAGTCAGCTGCCAAAGCCGCAGTCTTGAGTCAAAGGTCTGAGTTTTGACTAAGGCTTTTGATGTATTTCTGTGGCTTCCACGGAAGGCCGTGGGCAACTCTCCACTTTCACCGAGGGTTCAGCAAACTTTCCAAACACCCTCCCCAGCTTAATCTCTTTGTCTGCCAATGGGATTGCTAAAGTGGCTTTAGTTGGGTTTATTTGATTAAATAAATAAAAGAGAATGCACATCCCTTTGCACATTCCCATTGGAATATTTTCTTTTTTTGTTGAGTTTAAAGTACTTTTAAAAAATAGAACATCAACCTTCATAGTGCCATATCTGTTACAAAAATTGTTTTCAACGTTGTTTTTGTCATTTAATCTTGTTTATGGTAGTCAAATTACACGCACACACACACGGCATATATATGTCATGTGTGTGCGTGTAATTTGACTATGTCATATGTGTGTAATTATATATATTATAATATATATAATAATAAAGGGCTTTCGACTTTCTGAAATACCAAGAAAGCCCTGTTCCCCAATATCGTATCAGATTCACCTCTATGTTTTTGTTGCTTTTCTTTCTTCCTTCTTTGCCTTAATTTCTTGCTATTTTAATCGATCTGGAACTTATTCTGATATATAGTTTAAGATTGAAATCTAACTAAAATTTCTCCCAAGTAAATTGAATAATTGTTCCAGCACAATGAATAATTCATCTATTCTCTGCCAATTGGAAGTAACCCCCTTTCTCACAACTTGTACACCTATCTCTACTTGAATCTCTTTCTGGGAGCTTTTTCTTTCATACTATTATTGAGCTATTTATATTTTTGCAGGACACGAGAACATAGTTTTAATTATTTTGGCTTTTTTACATATTTTTAAATCTGGCAGTTCAAGTCACTTCTCGTCTCTTTTTAGATTGTTACTAACCTACTTGGTTTTCCAGATGCATTTTAGAGTCATTTTTGTCAAATAAAAGAAAAATCCTTCATGATTCTGATTAGAATTGCATTAAGCTGAAAATTTAATTTGAAGAGAACTGACACCTTGACCCTTGAATCCAACTATCCAGGTTCATGACACATCTAATTTAAGGCCGTGCTTATCTCTCCTGCTTACTGTGTTCTCATCATTTTTAGTGCTGATATTCTACGCTTCTTATTGGGCTGGCTATTAGTTATGAAATATTTTTCTTGCTATTATAAAGGAAATCCTTTTACTGTTAAGTTTTCTTACTGGTTGTTACTAATATGAATTTGTCCTAAGTTCAAATTTGGTCTTAGTTCTTACTAGTTTTAATGTTTGAGATCTATCTGAAGAGTTTTAAGGAAGCAGTTCTGTAATTTGCTAAGAATTTTTCTCTTTCCAGGAATTGTGCCTCTAAATTCTTCTCTTATCTCATTAGTTAAAGATGTGGTGCGAATTCTTACCCTCTCCCCCCTTTTTAAATCTATTGAGAATGCCTATACTGCTTCATCATTAATATAATATTAAAGGCCAATTTGAGCTAAAGATGATTCAAGGAAACATCTTTTCTGGTGCTAGTTTATTAAGCATTCTTAACACAGTAGATATTGGATTTTATCAAATGCTTTTCTACATTTTGTGAGTTTATCGTGTTTTTTTTTTCCTTTGAGCTATTGATAAGATAGAATGATATTCATAGATTCCTGTATATTAAGCCACCCTTATATGCCTGAATACAACTCAGCTTGGTTATGGTATGATATCCTTGTAATATTCTAAAAGATTCTATTTGCTGGAACTTTATCAAGAATTTTCATAGAAATATTAATAAGTTGTTCATTTTACTTTGGTTCTGTATATCAGGCTCTGTTGTCAGCAGTTTGCTGACTGAGTAAAATGAGCTAGGTAGGAGGATTTTCATATTTCTTATGGTCTAGTACAATTTCTGTGTATGGGAATTATCTAGGGTATTATTGAACATTTGTGGGGGGAAGATCTTGTCCACAGAATCTTCTGAGCCAAGCATCTTTGTTAGCTTCCCCCTCCCTTCACCAGCACACACAATTTTACCCATCTCTCACAGGAGGAATCTTTGAGTATGCAGACGGCCCCAATGCCCAGGTCATGAACGCTGAAGAGCACGCCTTTCGATTTTCTGCCAACATTATCAACAGGAACAGGACTCTGCTGCCCAATACAACCTTGACCTACGACATCCAGAGGATTCACTTCCATGACAGCTTTGAAGCCACCAAGAAGGGTGAGTGTCCAGACCCCACAGTTCTCTTCCCAACCTAAGGAGCAGGGCTGTCCGCTATCCAAGGTTCTGAAAATGGGCGGGCGCGCTGGTTGGGGATGGGAATTAGAGCCTTTTCCTCCTGGTTTGGGATCCTGCCTGTGTACCAGCTTGGCTCAGGTTGTGTCATCCCTCAGAAATGATGGGTCTTCATCAGGAATTCACAGGTCACTGGCAGAGGTGTGAGGGAGTGAAAGGTCGCAGGAGAGTGTTGGGGGTTGAAGGGTGGGGGTCTGTGGCGGTGAAGCTGCGGCAGTAAGGAGGCCAGCCCTTGTCTCCCATACCTCTAAACCAAACCTGGCATTTTCAAGCATGTTTTTTTCTCTAATTTTCGGTATTTACTATATTTATATCAAACTGATCATGTGTAAGTTCAAACGTGCAGCATTTACATGCTGTAAAAAAACAGGACTGCTTCAGTGACTGTAATAACTTAGCTCCAGGGTGACTCTTGAATCTGACATTGGCCTCAGAATTCAATATGTTTCTATAATTTGGTTTGTCTACATAATAACAAAGAAATCCTAATTCATAAAAATAAGTTGTAGTAAATCCAACTAAAGTCCCCCCCCACACCCACATTAAAAGTAAAACAAAAACAAACGTTGGGCTACATCTGTCCTCATTAGTGATACATCTACAATAAACTCCAATAGTTGCACAGAAGGGCTGAGAATTTTGTTCCAAGATCCTCGCACACAAAAAAACAAGGTCATCTGTCAATGCCTGAATGAGCTGACAGTCTCCAGTGAGGCATGTAACACATTTAAGTATACAAATGTGCTTCCTGGTTACTGTTTTAGGAAATATAGTTCATATATTATAATAACATATATACACATGCATGTCTCATATATGTGTTTGCATACATACATGTGTGTGTGCGCGCACACACATTTAATGTAAGGGCTTAGGTAACTCTGGAAATAACTTCCTCGGAACCCTGGAGTTCCATGGAACTCCATTTAAAATTAAAGCGATCTGATTCCAGGGATGACCAGTCTCCCGATGATGCACCATCACAACCCCCTGCCTTTCTTCTTCAAGTTCCCTGTCTCAGCCTATAGCAGAGTCACTGTAGTTGTTTAAAGTCTCCCCCCTCTCCCTGGCAGGAGTGAAAGGGACCTCTCTCGTGCACTGATACGGCCCCTGTACCTCAAACAGTGGCGTGTAGTAAGTGCTGAGGGAAGTGATGGCTGAGTGACTCAGGGAGTCATGATGTGAGGTTGGGGCGTGGGACCCTGCACTGCTGCGTGCAGCCCGTCACTGGGCTTAGGGGCACATCACCCGTGCATCCAGGGAGGATAGAGGTCCGCCATATGGGCCCCTTGGTCTTATGAAGGTCCCTGTGTTCCCAGGTGCAGACTTGCCAAGGTGCTGCCTGCTGTTGGCCTGTTCCCCAAAGCCCCACTTTGGGTAAACATCTGAGCCCAGAGAGGATGCTCACATGGACCTGGAGCCAGCCTGCTTGACTTGATGGGCCACCTCTGATAATAGTTGTGTGACTTTGGACATAGTGCCCCAAGCCTCAGTGTTCTCACCTATGAAAGGGGCACACCTCTGTGAAATGCTTCGCACAGCACCTGGCACATAGCAAGTGCCAGTGTGGCTGCTCTTATGATGCAGGCTGCCTTGCTCCCCACACCCTGAACTTCCAGGCCAAGCCCCTCGGCCTAATGCGCGTGCTCTCCCACAGCTGGACCCTGCCCCCTCCAGCCCTGCTCCTCCTGCCCTGGGTGCTCATGGTCAGTGGGCCCCTAACATTGAACATGATCACTGCTGACGTTTTTGTTAGTCCACTCCCCTAAGCCCCCGAGCCAACAGAATGCCTACTGACACCCCACCCTGTTGGTCTTGGCTGGCCACCATTCCCTCCTCCTACCTATCTCCTCAGCCCTCGGCCCCCGCTCTGGCCAACACCGTGCAGTCAGGTCTCTACCCCTTCCTGGGAGCTCCTGCTGGCACCTTCTCCCCAGCCTCAACATCTACAATATGACTGACCTCAACCTCTGCTGTTCAGTGAGGTAGGACGCAGAGCAAATCCCTGGAATCACAATGCCAGGGTCCACATTGCTGGGGTGGTGCTGGCTCTGCTGTCCATTTTTCCTAAAAGTTACTAAAATGGGACAGTGACTCCATAGCGGGCCCCTGCCATACAGTGTAGGGGCTTTCCCAGTGGGCAGCAAGCCCAGCTGGAGTGCCAGCACCTTCGGAGGCGCGTACCCAACAGGACTCACCGTCCACACCCAGGAGTGGACTGAGCAGCCCCAGCAGAAACGTCCAGCTCTGGGATTCAGCCTTGGACCCCACGTGGCTGAACCTGCAGCCCCTCCCTGCCCTACACCAGGCGCAATCACCTGTTTGCCCAAAACCCTGGGTGGTGTAGCCCACCCTCCTGTCCCCAGATCAGAACGAGAGTCTGTCCAGTCTTGTCCCAGTGTGACCCTCCTGACCCACTCCAGCTGTCACTCCCTCAGCACCACCTCAGGGTGCCATGCTTCCCCCCACTCCAGGCCTCCCACCACTGCTTCTTCTGCTTACATGTAGTTCCTGCTCCCCACCCCATTTGTGTCCCCCTTTTGTCTTGCTGACTCAGCCTTCTCCTCTCAAACTTTGAGTCCTCAAGGAGCTGTCCCAGGGATCCCAGATCAGATCAGATCTCCTGCTGCCAATTTATTACACTGTGGACTCTTCATTCACAGCCTTGACCGTTGTGTGGTGTGTGTGTTGCATGCACATGGGCATGTGTGTGTGATCACTGCGTGTGTGTGACCACTGTGCGTGTCATCATTGTGTGTGTGTGATCACCGCATGTGTGTGTGATCACTGCATTTGTGTGATCATTGTGCGTGTGTGTGACCACTGTGTGTGTCGTCACTGTGTGTGTGTGTGTGATCACTGTGTGTGTGATCACTGCATGTGTGTGTGATCACTACATGTGTGTGATCACTGTGTATGTGATCACTGTGTGTGTGATCACTGCATGTGTGTGACCATTGCACGTGTGTGATCACTGTGTGTGACCACTGCATGTGTGTGTGATCATTGTGTGTGTGTGATCACTGTGTGTGTGTGATCATTGTGTGTATGTCATCACTCCATGTGTGTAACCATTGTATGTGTGTGTGATCACTGTGTGTGGCTACTGCGTGTGTGATCACTGTGTGTGTGTGACCATGGCACATGTGTGTGATCACTGCACATGTGTGATCACTGCGTGTGTGTGATCACCGCCCCCTCTTCCACCACCTCGCGCATCCCTTTGCCTCTCCCCTGCTCTGCTGTACAGCCGTCGCTGACACTACTGTCAGAAGTGGCTTTTGCCTGTTTTTGAGCTTCATATAAATGGAGCCTCCGGTACATGCTTTTGCAGATCTTGCCGTTTTCACCCTGTGATAACACTGTGATGCACCTCTGTGGTGTGGAATGTAGCAGGTATCTGCTCTGCCCTCTTGTACAGTGTTCCAATATATGCATCAAGCGGCTCAACAATTCTTCAGCGAGACAACTTCCAAAGTTGCTGCACTGAGCCGCACTCCCTCTGGCAAAGGCTGAGGGGCACTTGTTCTATTCTCTTGCTAACTCTTGGTAAAGTCTGTCTTTTTTTTAAATTTGGGTCACTTTGGTGACCTGGTGTGGGCATCTTTGTGGCTTTATTTTGTATTTTCCTGAGAAACAAGATGTGGAATAGCCTCTGATATGTTAATCATTTAAATCTCTTTCCTGGAGTAACTTTTTGAGCCTTTCAAGCAATTTTATTTATTTACTCATTTTTAAGATTGATTTATTTATGCAAACAGAACTGGGTTACAGGCGAGAGGTGCAGGGGCAGTGAGAGGATTCACCAGAGACAAAGTGGGGAGCAGAACAGGCAAATCTACTGAAATACACTGCTGAGGGGAGCAGCATGTGGGTCAGGAGAGGTCTACTGAACCACGTGGGTCACCTCCAGCAGGGGCGGGGATGGAACTCACCCTGAAGTGGCTTCAGCTAGCTTGCAGTGCTGCGTTCTAACCCGTTGCGCCACCAGGGAGGGCCTGTTAATTGTTTTTTTTTTTAAGATTTATTTATTCATACAAGTCTAGGGTACAGGCCAGAGAGGATTCCCCAGAGACAGAGTGGGGAGCAGAACAGGCAGATGGACTGAAACACACTGCAGCAGGAAGCAGTGGGCAAGACAGAAGAGGCCTGCTGTGCCATGTGGGTCAGCTCCCTGGCTGGGGATCAAACTCATGCAGCAGTGGCCAAGGATACTTTCATAGTGCTGTGCTTTAACCCCTTGTCCCACTAGGGAGGGCCACATTCAACCAATTTTAAAAATCAAGTTGCGTGTCGTTTTCTCATTGATTTGTAAAGTTGTCATATATCCTGCTAAGAGCCCTTTGTTGGAAATAGGTGTTGCCTGTGTCTGTCGCCAATGAACTTGCCTTTTCACTCTCGGTGGTATATTTGCAGAGCAACGGTCTTAATTTAAAGAAATCCAATTTATCAATATCTTTTGTCTACCCTAAGGTCATGAAGATATGCTCTAATGTTCTCTTCTAGAAGCTCTATTGTTTTATCTTTCTTAGTAAGCGCTATAATCTGTCTCAAATTGATTTTCTGTGTTGGGTGGGAGGTAAGGGTTGAGGTTTATTTTCTGCACACAATGCTGGTGAGTGTGAAAACTGGCCCAACTTCTCAGGGAAATGTTCAGAATATCTCCTAAAGCTAGATGAATATACCTGTAGGGATGTCCAAGCCGCTTTATCGACAGTAGCCAGAAGGTGGAAGTCAATTAAGTCCATCAGCAGGACGGTGGCTTCTTGTGGTAGTTATACAAGGGAATTAGGACTGGCGATCCAAAGAAAAACAAAATCTTGCCACACACAACGTCACAGGTGAGCTTCCCAGAGCTGATGTGGTGGGTAGACTAAGGTACCTCTAGGAAGGGAGCAGTGAGGAGTGGCCAGTACCTGGCAAGGGGACCTTCTAAAGTGCTGGAAATGTTCTGTATTCTGAGCCAAGTAGTCGCGACATAAGTGCAGGTATATGTAAAATGTCATGGAAGTTTGTGTTTAAAATGAATGCACTTTATCTAACTCTATCTAAAAATAAAAAATGTATCTCCTCTCTGCTGTCACTCTGATGATACCTAAGACAGCCCCCAGCTGTGGTGGGGGGCCCTGATGTCTGACCCAGGAGGCATTTCTGCTGTTGGATCATGCTCCCTATTAAGCACCCTCCAGCCCTCAGGGAGCTCCAAGTTCCTGTGATTTTCATGTTTTCTTTTGATCTTTGCTTTTAAAAATGTATTCCTGGAGAGCATCATTAGGACTCTTGCAGGGGGTGAACTTGGGCCTAATTCTAATTAACCTGATGATAATTCCTTCTCTGTAGGCGTGGGTTCCTTCCCCACTCCCTCCCCACCTGCTGGACCAGCCACCTGGGGCCCTGGGGAGACTGGCAGGCTTGGGTAAACTACCCTCCGCTGGGGGCCCAGGAAGCCTTTCCCCATTAAAAGGGGCAGCTCTGGTAGCTGTGTTTCTTTCCAGGCCTGACCAAGCGGGCCTGGAATCGACCCAGCACTCCCCAGGCGCCTCTTCCTTCACGTATTCTCTGGGCTGCTCAATTCCTTTTAAGACACAAATTGATTGGGATAATTTTTGCTATAACTACAATTGCCATGGAGAGGGGGAGGGGACTGCATTCAGGCTGTGGCTGCCTGCAAAGACTGTGAGCCACTGAGTTCCTGTAAAATGACCAGAAAATGGATTCAAAATTGAAGCCACAAATAGTGAAATTACTGCAGTGTATGTGCCAAGGGCTGCCAGAGCGAGAACTGGCTGCGGCCTTGGAAACATCTGGAGAGAAACCTGCTGCTGCTGTTGCCGGGCCCGCATCACCTGCCCTGCTTACTTGGGGCCAGGGGCAACAGAGCTGTGCCAGGCTGAAACATCCTCAGGGTGGCAGGAACCCGAGAGGGTCAGGAACGGGATGCGGAGAGCAGCCGAGAATGGCTGAAGGGCTGCACGGGCACCCTGCCCCCCACAGTGACCTGGCCCTGGGCTCTAGCGGCGTGAAGGCCAGTGTGGCCATCATCGCCACATGGCCAGCACCGCCAGTGTTCACACCAGCACACCATCCCCACCACTCCTGTCACCAGTAGCAGTGCTGGCATCAGTGTGCTCCTACACCATCTCCACCACGTCACCGTGCCCGCCATCCTCACCACCCCTGTGCGGCAGCAGGTCCTCTCACCAGTCTCGCCCATGCTGGCTCACCATCATCCTTCCCACTGGCGTTATCGCTGTCACGGCAGTGGCATCATCGCTATTGTTGCCACCTCTGCTCACACCCCTGCCAGCATCACCATGCCCCCTGCCATCACCACCACGAGATCACGGCTCCAGGCCCCCATCAGCAACCCCACGGCCTCCGCCCCCGTCCACACTGTAGCCCCTTCTCTCATCACAGCACCATCGTCATTGCTGCCATCAGCATCCCTGTTATTGACACTTCAGAGCACCCCATGGTCACCACCCACTGGCCCATCACGCCGACACTATCACCAGTCCCAATCTCAGCAGTGTGGTCACCGTGATGGCCCCTCATGCCTTACAGTGCTGTGCACACCTGCCAGGACACCTGCCATGTGGTTACCTTCATTGTCATCTTTCCAGTGTCAAAAGCACATCCTTCAAGATCCCGCTGACTGTCCTCTGCATCACCAAACATGTGTTTGGTCCCCTCTCCCTTAATTCAGTCAGACAGGATAGCCAGGTGCTGGGCCAAAGCAGGGCATGATCTAAGAGACTGGGCAGGCGGGGTTGGGTTGGCAGGAGAGTATCTGCCCACCTGCTTCAAGGGTTAGGTCAAAGAGGGAAATCCAACAGGCAGATCGCTAGAGGAGGTAGTGAGAAGTGGTGGTGGCAGTGAGAGGCGATGAGGCACACCAGTCACTTGGCTAAGTCACTAATCTAAAGGCCCCAGGGGCAAAGAACGAGCAGAGGTCAGGGGCAGCGGGGTAGGCACCAGACACATCGGTGGCCAACTGGAAGGGTCGAAACACAAGGAGGACGTAGAATATGAAGGAAGCCTACAGGCTTTGTAGGTGTCCGTTGTCTTAGACTTCAGTAAGCAGGAGAGTGACCAGGCCTGGTCAGCTGTCACTTGCTCACTGCCACTTCTCCACATCGGTATCTGCCCTCCATGGCTGCAAAGTGATTCACATGTAACCTCTGCCCCAGGCGGTTCTGCTGGTACTGGGTCAGAGAGCTTGGCGCAGAGGCTCGGCACCTCCCAGGGTAAGACTGGCAGCAGGAAGAGGGAGGAGCGGCAGGGCTGGGCAGTGGTGTGCAGGTTAAGGCACAGCTGCCTGCGGGCACAGCCGCGATGGAGAACTGCTCTTAAATCAGACACCCAGGGGTCCTGTTCTGAAGCGTGATGACCACTGGGGTTGTCCCGCACAAGGTGCTGCCCCAGGTCACTGACTCCAGGGGACAGTAGCAAAGACAAAACTATATCCCTGACTTGGCCTCCGGTCCCAGGAAGGCACCATGTGCCCTGCTGTTTGGCCTCTTCTGCACTTGGCATTGACCGGGGGAGTCATGCAGGAGATGCCCGCTGGCTCAGCCATGCTTTTTCTTGCATGTGGCTGTCCCGTCTCAAATTCCAGCGGTTCCAGCACACTTCCCCCCAAGGTGCTGGTCCTTGGCCTGGCCAGTGGCAGTCTCTGGGCTCTTGGGGGAAGCATGAGTTTCAGGAAAAGTAGCTTTCTTATATGATATCGCCTTTTCTCTGGAGACTGTGAGGGAAGAGGGTGGACGTGAGTAGAAAGACAAAGTATTCTGAGGACCAGAATGGCAGGCTCAGAAGCACCCTGTGTCTTTGGCTTCACTGCCCAACCCTCAGCCCCGGCAAGAGGCTGTGCTTTGAAGGTGCTCCCTTCAACCTCTTCTGGCCAGTAACTCTCTGAGGACAGGGGCGAGTGCAACCAAAAGGTCTTGCCTACCGGGACCTTGTGCCCTGTCTAGATTTTGCCCTGAATTTCCTGGCCTGTTGGCCTTGCCCACCAGGCTGGCCCACCTCTTCCCAGGGCTGTTCTCTGGAGGGAGAGCCAAACTGCCATGGTTACACTCCCAGGACTTATCTGAGGGGGAACGGGGTGGACGGAGCTCAGACGTGAGAGCTCGTGGCCCATTAGGGTTCGGGGGAAGCCAGCCTTCAAAGAGGAGGAGGTAGAGGGCGCCAGGTCAGTGCATATGGGAAGTTCCCATTCCCACCTGGCTTTCTAGGTTGTTATGAAGGTTTGTTTGCTAAGGAAAGAGCAAGTATGTTGCCTCCCCATACACAGAGATGAAGAGACTTGAAGGGGGGATAGGAAGAGTTACGTGGCTCTCTGAGTGAAGAGCACCCCAGCCAGGAGGAAGAGCCAGTGCAAAGACCCTGAGGCAGGGAGTTGGGGAATGCCTGCCATGTTTGAGGAAGACCATGGCACTTGCGTACCTTGAGGAAGGGCAGGAGGGGTGGGAGATGAAGTCAGAAACGTATGATTCTGCCTGGGAGGTGGGGAGGAGAACAGGGCTCATCGGGCACTGTAAGGGGCTTTGGGTTCCACTGGCATGAGTCAGGAGCACTCAGAGCAATATGATGCCCCCACCTTACGCTGTGAAAGGCTCACCCCAGCTGCGGAGTGCAGAATAGATGGTCCGGAGGATTTCTGAGGAAGCTGGAACCAGGGTAGGAGATTTCTATAATCATCAAAAAATCATCAACTGGAAGATGATTATTGTGGCTTGGACCAGGCTAGAAGAGGCAAGAAGCAGGCAGGTCCTGATAGCTTTCAAAGGTGAAGCCACTGCAGTTGCTGATGGACTGGGGTGTAGGAGAGAACCAGAGGACCCAAGACAAAACCAGGGTTTGGCCTGAGGCACAGGACCGTGGAGCTGCGTCTTGCAGACAGGGAGGCTGAGGAGAGAGTTTACAGCACCGACAGGTTAGTGCTGAGACGCCCTCGGACACATGGGCAGCAGTGTGGAGTGGAGGTGAGAGGTACCCGCTGGATTTCAGGGACAGGCCAGAGCGGGGGCTCAGGTGTCACCAGCCAGCAGGTGCCTGGCTCCTGTTTGTCTCACGTCCCCACCCAGAGCAGGGACGGGCTGAGCTGCGCCTCTCGCCGCGGTGCCATCAGCATCTGCATCGTGGGTGCTGAGCTGTGGGCCGTGCACACGGGGGGCCCTGGGCCTCTGTGATCCCATGAGGCGGGGCTTTTCCAGCCCATCCCCAGATAAGGAAACAGATTCCCAGAGCTTGGCGGCAGTCACCTCTTAGAGGGCTCTGGTTCCGTTTTCCCCAGTTTATGGAGTCATTGCCACCAGGGTGCCCTCACCATCAGCCCCACTGACCCTGTGCCGTCTGCCCTCCTCCCGCAGCCTGTGACCAGCTGGCGCTGGGCGTAGTGGCCATCTTCGGGCCGTCACAGGGCTCCTGCACCAATGCCGTCCAGTCCATCTGCAATGCCCTGGAGGTGCCCCACATCCAGCTGCGCTGGAAGCACCACCCCCTGGACAACAAGGACACCTTCTACGTGAACCTCTACCCTGACTACGCCTCTCTCAGCCACGCCATCCTCGACCTGGTCCAGTACCTCAAGTGGCGGTCGGCCACCGTGGTCTACGACGACAGTACAGGTGGGTGCGCAGGCCTGGCGGGGCTGGGGATGGGCTAGGGATTGGGCTCATAGCTGCTTGGCCCATGCAGCAGCCTCTGGGGAAAGGGCTGTGCATGCTCAGGGCGTGTAGGGGAAGTCGGCCAAGCTTCATCCAGCTAGCTTGCTGCTCGCCCCGAGCTCCCTCCTAGATGCAGGTGCATTCTCACGCAGCCCCAGTCTCCCTCACACCTGCCTCACCTTCACATTGCCACCTCCACCCCAGTGGCATGCTCACATGTGTACTCAGCACCTACCAGGGCACCTGTACTCCTACCTGCACCCAGAGCTGTTCAGGCACACCCACACCTAAACCCCTGGGCCTATACCTGCATAACCACACCCACACCTGCCCCCTGACCACCTATGCCTATACCTGCACAGCCATGCCCACACCTGACCACCTGCAACTATACCTGCACAGCCATGCCCACACCTGACCACCTGCACCTATATCTGCATAGCCATGCCCACAACTGCCACCTGCACTTATACCTGCATAACCACACCCATACCTGACCACCTGCATCTATGTCTGTATAGCCACGCCCATACCTGCCACCTGATCACCTACACCTATACCTGCACAGCCACGCCCACAACACCTGCCCCCTGAACACCTGCACTCCCCCACTTGCACATTCCATCTGTAGCGAGCATGTCCAGTTCCATGCTGGCTCCACACTCAGACTTTGGACTCAAGCTGGCTCTACGTGTTTACAGGCTCTAAGGCTCACTAAGTAGCAGAGCTGTTTGCTCTCCTCCTCTTTCTTTCCAAAGACTCGAGTTCCAAGACGTCCCTCAGCCCAGCCTCTTAAGAGACAGTGACCATGGCAAGTCACTTAACCCATCTAGCTTGCTCTGCCAACGTGTCGAGTCAAGAGCTACCGCATCCAGCCTGAAAGAGCCCTCCAGCTCTCAGCTGCCTGCGATTCAATGTCAGCTCTTGATTACCTCCTAATGGGTAGTGGGACTCGTGGGGAGAGAATCCCTCAGAAAAGACAGCCAGAAAGTTATTTATTTATCTCAGGACTCTACAAGCTTCTCGTAGGTTTTGCTACCGCACCAGAGATCCTTGAAGGCAGGGCTTCCCCAGCCTGGCCCAGTGCTCTTTGCCTTTGAGGAGTGCTCCTGCTCAGCTCCAGGTCACCCCCACTGTTCTATAGCCTTGTAGACGTACCAGTTTGAACAGACCTCTCTGTCTATCTTTCCAGTTGTTTCTGCTTCCAGGCCAGGAACTTTCCGTTAGCGCTTAGTACAGAGTCTATGCTACGATGGTGAAGTTGAATTGAAAGTCAAGTTAAAGTAAACTATATTTCACTTGAAAGAATATGCTGAGCACTGGTGGGAGGAAAAAGAAGTGAGGATAAGGTTTCACATCTCCCTTTGAGAATTCATCATCATGGACAGGGAGCAGCAGCCCACCCAGAGAACTGTGGGCATTTCAGGTTATCTCAACTAAGAACCAAGTGCCATGTCCTTCAGTCAGAGTTAAGAGCACTTGGGGGAGAAAAACCTGGCTGAGTGTCCAGAGGAGGGAGCCAGGAGAGGGTGCTGGAGGGTAGGTGGACCGGGAGCAGAGCTGTGAGCCTCGCGGCAGAGGGGACTGAGTGAGCCGAGGAGGAGGCCTGGGGGCTGTGTTGATCGAGGACAGCCTGACTGGGAGTAGATTCAAGAACAGCAGGTGCCAAAGGAGGTTTCTTAATGGGACCATATCTTCTATCAGGGAGGAGATCGTCTCAGGACCTTCTAGAGGCCACTTTGCAGAGCTCCCTGGGCCCGGCTGCTCCCCTATGCACCGTCAGGAATGGGATTGCCTTCAGCGGCTCCCACCAAATCCAGTCATGAGACTGGCCCACTGGCACACTGCGCCCCAGACAAGCCATGGTTCTCATGCTAGCAGGGGCGTCCTGGGTACCGTACCCACAGCCACTCCGTCTGACACGCCCAGTGGCTTGGCAAGCTCAGTGGCTCCAATAACAGGCATCTGCTCAGCTCACAAGTCTGCAGACTCCATGCCTGTTCCATGGTTTTCTTGGTCTCAGTGGAGTGTTGGGCGATCTGGGTTGGCTGGGGCTAGGGTGACGGGGTGACTGGTTTCCTCCATGTGTCTTGCATCCAGGCAGGTTGTCAGAGCAGTGGCACAGGTGCAGAGGGTGCCATCCCTTCCCTCCTGTGTCACACCTATGTCACGCCTATGTCACCCCTGTTGTTCTGAGCAGGTCACATGACTGAGCCCAGTGTTGTGGGTGGTCCAAGCCCCCTACCCATGTGGAGGGCACCCACACAAGTTATATGGCAAAAGGTGTGGTGATAGGGAAGGGTAAGAAATTAGGGCTACCCTTGCAATATACCTCAGGGAAAGTGTCTTATAATGTATCCACGATTGGGCCCCTCCCTGGTGGCACAGCGGGTTAAAGCGCTGCACTAAGAAGCTTAAGCCACTTCCGCATGAGTTCGATTCCCGCCTGCCCCGGAGGTGACCACATGGCGTGGCAGACCTCTCCTGACCCGCCCGCTGCTCCCCTCAGCAGTGTACTTCGTCGATCTGCCTGTTCTGCTCCCCACTCTGTCTCTGGTGAATCCTCTCACCCTCCGCATCTCTGGCCTGTACCCCAGTTCTATATGAATAAATAAATCTTTAAAAAAAAAATGTGCCCACGATTTAGTAGGTATGACCAGGAGAAGGCCAGAGAAGGCAGCGATCGACAGAAGGACGTGACTTGAGTGCCTTCGAGGCAGGAGCAGGGCCCCTGAGCCACCCAGGAGGCGTCCCGGGGCTGAGCAGGAGGTAGGGCTCAAGGAAAGCAGAGACAAGGGTCATGATGCCCACGGGGGCAGATGTTGGCAGGTGGGACACCCCCTGTTGGGCAGGCGGCAAAACATAGGGTTGGGGTTTGTGATCGGAGGGTGACAATACTTTTCTGCACCTCTGCAGTCATGGGGTGACGGAGATGAAACGCCTCGGCTGTAAGTTTGGCCCGAGATTTTCAGAGGCCAAGTCACCCATGACGGTGCAGGAATGACTCTCTCAGGAGCCAGCGGTGTTTGCCCTGTGAGTTTTGCCTCGGGCCACCTTCCTACACAGACACAAGCCCAGTTCCCAGGAAGGGGCTTAGAGAAACCCTGGTGGAGAGGAGGGGCCCAGGTCTCAAACTCTGACCTCATCGCTACCAGGCGACCAGTGCTCGGGGCTGGGGTGGGAGGCAGCTACTGAACTTCGCAGGCCTCGGTTTCCCTGTCTGTAGAATTGCTCGGCGTGCCGGCTTGGCCAGGGGCGGTTAAGTAGGGTAATGAGTGCAGAAGTGCTTTGTAAGTGAAAAGCACGATTCCACCAACCATGATTCACTGCAGATATTTTGAGAGAGATTGATTAGGGAAGCAGCCGCGAAGGAAAGCTCATCTCGGGCAAACAAAGGAACCGGTGCTCTGTCGGGGTGGGCCGAGCCGGCCTCCTGCCTCGCCGGGAATACACTGATGGGAAGGAGGCCTGACATCTGCTGCGGAGAATGTGGGTCACTTTACACGGGGCAGTGCGCTTGGCTGGCAGGAAGGCTCCGGCGGCCTGTGCGCCACGATCCAGGCTGCCCCGTCCTCATATCCGCAAGCCCTAAGCCCACATGTCTGCTGAGGCTGTATGTGAGCCTGAAAACAGAGACCGGGAGCAAAGTGTGCACAAGTCGGGCCTTGGAGGTTACAGGTATGAGTGGGCGGCACCGTCCCGTCAAGTGAAGAACTTCTGGAATCAGCCGGGGGCGGGGAGAAGCTGTGTGTGTTTGAGTAGAGCCTGTGGGCCCTCCCTCCCTGGAGGTCAGTTGACCTGAGGTCAGATCCTCTTCCTCACCTTCAGGTCTGGTATTGAGAGTTGGGGCGCCTATGAACCCAGAGGCTCTCCCAGAGGCTGGGCCTGAGGCTTTCCAGGGGCTGGGGCTCCCGGGGCCTGCTCCCAGTGAAGTCACCACAATGCTCGATGGGGAGCGCTTGGGGAGGCTTCATCCCAGGGGGTCACTCTGTCCTTTCTAGCAGGTGGCCTTCCTGACATGCAGCCCTAGGGATGGGAGTGAGACACTGAACAGACCCAGGCACAGAGCCAGAAAGTGACTCTGGAAGCTGGGACTGTTGGAAGCCTTCTTAGATGGGCTGGGAGTGGAGGGGACTGTCCAGCTAAAGGACACTAGGACTGCTGATTGCAAACTTTAATCCAACACAAAACAGCTTAAACAAAAAGAGGGGGCAGGGGAGGGGCTGTCGGCTGCCCTGGCTGGAAAGCTCTGGAGTAGGTTCCGCTTACTTGGTGCAGAGGCACCAAGGGGCGCGATGAGGACCCGCCTACGCTCTGTCCCTTCTGTCCTGTGTACCCCTTCCCACATCTTACATGGCGAGCCCCAGACATACAGCTCCTCGCTGAAGCTAAAGGAAAAGGGTACAGGTTGCTCCAGCACAGTTTCTGGAAGTTGCTCCCTGGTGTCATGTCCGTCTCTGAGCCTGCCCCGTGCCCAGAGTGGGGCGTGTGCAGACTGGCCATGCTGTGGTGCCACGTGATGCCCCTGGAGCTGGGGGGAGACCCAGCTGCACCGCACGGATGAGCGCCAGCAGTTGCTCCACGGAAAACCAGTGCCATTGCTGGGGAGATGGGCGTGTGGGCAGTGCTGCCAGCTGCAGAACTGAGCTCTGAGGGTGGGCAGGGGCCCGGGCAAGCAGGAGGAGGCCCGCGTGGGACCCCGGCCCGGTGGGGTGGGCAGAGAACCAGCAGGGCCGCTTCAGGCTAGGCAGCAAGAAATCAGCAAGAGTAGACCTTGAAGTAAGGACAGAAATGAACTTAATTAGACCTCAGCTAGTCATTTGTCTCCGGGAAATGACATTCAGTTTTCCCTGGAAGTCCCCAGATTAAGCAGTTTTGCAGAATGCTAAGGTGGAGGATGGACTTTTCAATATGGGATGGGATGTGGGGGGTGGGGGGTGGGGAAGAAACAGCAAGTCACCCAATTATGGAAATCTGTACTGAGTGCCACCTAAGGGCCCGCCGGCCTTGCGCCCGGGGCGAGAGGACCCAGCCTGTGAGGCTGAAGAGCTTTCGGCAGGACGTGAGTGACACGAGGCCAGAGGCGGCCACAGACTGAGGGGTTGGGGGAGGGTTTGGACAGAGCAATGGAGGCTGGCCTCGAGGCAGTGGTTCATTGGTCCTGGAAGAACAGGTGAGGCTCTCGAGGCAGGTGCCCTGGGGGTGTGGGGTGAGGGGCCCTACCGCCCAGCCCCGCCCAGTCCAGCAGTCAGCCCAGCTGCCCCCACACCACCACCTGTGCCCAGAGCCTGCAGCAGGTCTCCGGCCTCACATGTTGCAGGGGAGAGGGGTGGCCTCTGGCTGAGCGTCCATACGTCTGTCCACTCACTCACCCTGGTCAAGAGAGGAGAGGGTGGCTGTGGTCAGTGGGGACTTGCTGTCCTGCCGCGCCTACACGTGAATCTCCCTGAGTGTAATGCATCTGTGTGTGCACCTTTATCTGCATTTGCACACGTGTTCCTCAGCTGAAGGCGTGCCCTGTCTGTCTAAACATGCCTGTGGGCGGGGGCCTCTGTCCATATAGCGCTAGGGACACTGCAGGTGTGGACTGCCGCTCACACATGCCTGAGCGTGCTCGTGCTGTGACCGGACTCACGCGCTGTGCCCACACGCCTGGCTCCCCGGGCCGGGTGTCTGTGCGTGCAGTCCTGTGGCCGTGGCATGTGTGCACGCGCCTGGATGCCTGCAGCCGTGGACACAGGTGTGCACATGTCCCTGTCGTCTCAGGGCTCATCCGACTGCAGGAGCTCATCATGGCCCCGTCGAGATACAACATCCGTCTGAAGATCCGCCAGCTCCCCCTCGACTCTGATGACTCGCGCCCGCTGCTCAAGGAGATGAAGCGAGGCCGAGAATTTCGCATTATCTTCGACTGCACCCACACCATGGCTGCCCAGATTCTCAAGCAGGTGAGCAGCGTGGAAGTGGGGGGCTTGGGTGGGGGGTTTGGTGGCTGCTTTCCCACCTCCCCTCGCATCATAAGGCATGATGCCCGCTCCATTTGGTCAGACCCCTTGCTCTGCCTCCTTTGGCTCATGATCTTGGCGAGAGTGGGGTCACTTTGCCTCTCTGAGCCTCGGTTTTACCAGTCATGAAATGGACGCTGGTGTTTACACTCCCAGCTGGTGTGAGAAAGGAATGAGATGGTGGATGAGCTACTGCTACGGGCCTGGCCCCCACGGGCATGGGCACGCTGGTGTCTGTGCTGCCTCTGCGTTGGCAGGAGCCAGGCACTGCTGAGAGAGACCTAAAGCCACGAGGGACAGGACACTTCAGGAAGCATCGGAGGCCCGGGCTCTTCTGGGGATTAATCCCCCTAGCCCGCAGCACTTGGCATTACTCTCCTACTGCTAGGAGGTTCATCAGGGTCTGCGCACCATCTGCTCAACAGTGCAGTGTGGTGGGGGAGGACGTTTGGTCCAGGGTGAGCCTCCACTTAGACACAGCCCATCATGGGACAGGAGCAAGAAACAAGCCGGCCCCTGAGAAACAGGCAATGCTGTTGCCCAAGGCCCCTCCAGATGCTCAGCAGCAGATTCGAGCACGTGCTTTGTGTCAAAGGCAATTGTGTGGTCCCCGAGAGCTCCCTGGTGCTTGGAGGAGGCATCCTGTGGGGCTGGGACATGCCCCAGCAAGATGCATGAGGGACCCAGGTCCAGGGAGTGCCAGGAAGGGCAGTGAGCAGGGACCAGAAGTGCTGTCAAGACCTGGGGGGCTGCCATCCCACCTTCCAGCTGGACCCTCCCACCTCCCAAGCCACCTGGCAGCCTCCATCTCCCTGAGAAGAGGCCCCACACAGGGCCCTCACAGGGTGGTGAGACGTGCCCTGGACACCTGGCCCTGCTTCCACACTTGCCAGGAGTGCACCCAAACAAGCACCTCTAGTGAGCCCCTCCTCTGCCAGGAACCCAGGAAGCACCGCCTCTTGGTCACAGGGGTCAGGGAGGCAAGGCCAGGGAGGAGTCTGCCCTCATGGCCAGCCTGCGGGGGACACCTGGGCATCCCCAGGTACTGCAGAGGGAGCACATGGCACTCAGCCTGGCTCTCCTGGCCGCCTGGGCCCCTGCTTCCGCACTGTGATGAAGACGGTGACAATCACAGCATGGGTTTCCTGAGGCCTCCTCTGTGCAGGCACTCTGGGCCTCCTCCTGGAAGAGGGGTGATTTCCACGCCCATTGTACAGGTGAAGAAACTGAGGCTCGAGGGGAGGTAATGTGTCCAGCTTCATCCGGCAGGAAGTCGGAATGTACCCCCAGGTCTGTCTGCCTTGAAAACGTCTGGAATTTATAAAAGAAGCCTCGATGCTCAGCAAAACCCCGAACTTGATAGACAAAGGAAGGCGAGGCTGCTGACTGAGGGCTCCCCGGAGTCATCGCCGAGTGGGTGTGGGCTGCGAGTCCCCATGAGACAGAGACGGGGTGACATCCCCACAGGCTCTGTGGGCCCACCATTCTGAAGAAGTCTGCTGAAAATGCATTCTAGCCCTGAGCATAGATTAGAGGCTCCTAGTAAGACATGTTACACACGTGCACACGCACACACACACGCACATGCACAGAAGCATGTGAAGTGCAGGTTTGGCGACAGCATGGGGTAAGCGCCCATGGCACCTGCTTTGTGGCCAGCCAGCCCTGGGGTGCAGGGGTCTCTCAAATCTCAGCCCCTTTGGAGAGGCTCAGATGCAGGACAGAATCCCTGCTTGGGCCTGACTGGACTTGTGGGCATCCTGGCCACTGGATTCCTCTCTCTGGAGCCAGGACAGAGGTCGGCAGGGTGGGGCCCAGCGCCCTGGAGAAGGTGGTCTTCGGCCATCCCACAGCACCTCTACATCTGGCAGCATCTGGCAGCCCGAGACGCTGCGTCCCGTCAGCCCCGAGGGGACTGGACTCTTGGTATGGGGTAGAAGAGCGCTCAAGCAAGAAGCTGCCTTTTAGTCTGCTGTTCATCCCCGTGTGACATGCCCTGCTGTCCCCCAGCCAGGGGTCATCAGTGTTTAGAGTGCTTAAGAGAACGTCCCCCTTCAATCGACCCCAGGCCTCCACCTGACTCCCCCTGGCGGATCGCTAACCCTCTGCTTTCCCGCAGGCCATGGCCATGGGCATGATGACCGAGTACTACCACTTCATCTTCACCACTCTGGTAAGGCACCTCCCGGCCCCGGACGGAGGGTTCAGCAGGGCCAGCCCCATGAGGACAGCTGCCGCCACTCTGGGAGACGCAGGCTGGACCTGGCCCCTGGGCCAGTGGGCGTGGCTTTGGGGCGGGCTCCAGGCTCCCCGGTGCCTGCCCACCTCGAGAAGTGACAGCGTGTTGTCACCAGTAGCAGGGACTCTGGAACCTGCTTTCTGTCCTTGACATGGAGCCCTGCCCCAGTTTCTCCCTCTGCGAAATGAGCATGGGAATGGCCTCTCCCTCCTAGCATGGCTGTGAGGACAAAACAAGTTAATTGAGTAAAATGCTGGGAGCGGTGCCTGGCACATGTGAAGAGCCATTGAAGCTCAGTGTGTAGGGTGACGGTGACCCCGGCTCCCAGCCGTGCTGCCCCCGGCAGCTCTCAGGCAGCCGGGACAGAGACCGGCTCTCATTGCTACTTCAGATTCCTCCACAGCCTTGCTGGAGTCTGCCCACGCCCTGACAACCGGCCAGCCCACCTGCGGCTCCAGATGGGTCCTGTCCAGACTCTGAGAACAGGCAGGGCCATTCAAACCCATTAGGATAATGAGTTGTGGCCTGAGGTTCAAGCAAAGAGATCCGGGTACCAAAGGGGCACCGGCACCCAGCTGCCTTGTGTGGGGTCAGATGCCTTCGGACCCCTCTCGGGCCCTAGGCGAACTCCTCCACCAGCCGGGCGTGGGGTGAGTGGCAGCATCACTGCCATCCTGGCACTGAGCCAAGCTCCTGCAGCTCCCCGGGCCTCCCTCATGTCCATCCCTTGACCTGGTGCCCAGTCACACCCCTCGCCGGTGCCTGTGCTTGCCTGAGGAGCTCAAGATGCCTGGGACAAGCCCCCACCCTGCTGGCCTGCAACTCTGTGTCCTGCCTGTACAGCAGATGGGCGCAGCCTGGTCCCTGGGGTGTCACACCAGGGGAAGCGCCATCACAGGCGGGGCTGATGGCCATGGGGTGCAGCAAGAGATGCCAGGTGCTGCAAGGTGCGAGGGTTACCTGAGGAAAGCAGTGGCTCGAACAGGGCCTCCAGGGATTAATGGGTGTTCACCAAGGATGGCGAGGAGGGTGTCCACCCCCTGAGCAGCACGCACCTAGCCCAGGGCCAGCGAGCGCGGGCTGGGGATGGCGTCCCAGAGCCAGCTGACTGGAGGGCCAGTTGTGCTCATCTCCCAAGCCCAGGTTCAGTGGCATCACACACGTAACTTGAGATCAGCCACAGTGGGAGCTTATTCATGTTTGCCAGGCCCAGAAGTTGGCAAATGCTCCAAAGAAGGATTTTTGCACCTCCCTCCGCAGAGTTGGTTACTAGGATTTGCCAGAACACTGCTGCTTGTGGACCTCCCTCCATCTCCACCCCAGCCCTTGTGCCCATAGAGAGCCCAGAATCAGACCCGGGAGAACACACAGGTGGGGCCAGGCAGGCCACGCAGCCTCCACGTCATTCTCCAGGGAGAGGAAGCGCCTCAGGGGCCCAGGCAGATGCGTCCCGCCCTGCCACCTGTTAGCGGTACCACGGACAGAGCACTTGGCCTCCTGGGCCTCGGTTTCCTTGCAAAATGGGAATAGTAGCCAAGATGCCGCTGGGCCTCAGCTTCCTCATTTGGCCTTTTTGGCTTTAAGGAGCAACACTCACACAAGTACCCTCAGTCATTACGGGCCCAAAATGAACCACCAGGCCACACTGCAGGCGTGGGAGCAATTCTGGGTCCAAAGCCACACGGGACAGTGCAGGATGCGGGCTCGGGCCCTCTGCCTCGGGATACAGCAGCTGCCCCCACTCCCTCCCTCTCCCACTGTGCTGTCCCCCGTTCTTGGCTTCTGCGCCTCCCACGAGACCTCCATTCCCTGGAGACTTCAGTGCATCCAGGTGTCCCAGACTTCCCACCGCCCAGCTGACCACCCCATTCTGCCACATCTCACCACCTCTCTCTCTGCGTTACCCCATCCCCAGGACAAATGGATCAAGGTCATCATTTCTCATGAGGACACCAGGTAGCCTTTGGGGCTGGACAGTCCCTCACTGCAGAATGCAGCATGTTTGGCATCTCTGTCCCCAATCACTAATTTCAAGTGTAGTGTAGTGACAAATAATATCAGCCCACATTTCAAATGTCCGCAAAGTGGGGACAGATGTTAGAAACCACCCTTGGGACAAGAGCCCACTCCGAGCCCACCAGCCGAGGCCTGGCAGGAAGTGGCAGGGTTAGCATCCTTGGCCACACCAGAAGGACTGAGTTGGGTGGGTTGTGGCTGGAACAAAATCCACACTTCTCATGCCCTCTGCTCACCCCAAAAACTGCCCCTCACCCATCTGTCCACACAGGGCCCTCTCTGACCCCGTCCTCAAGCCTAGCTTTGAATATTCAGTTCAGAGCATCTCCCTTAGCACCTGCCCTTTCTCCCTTGCATAGTTGTGGGGCAGCAGGATCTGGAGCTTGGGCCCCTCAACTCTATGGCCTGGCCTGAACTTCCAGGCAAGACTCTGGAGAAGAAACTTCCAGAGACCCAGGTGCTCCAGAGTCATGCTGTCATCCGCTGAGGTCATGCTTGGGGCTTTTAGAGGGAGGCACAGGCCAGGATCCAGGGGTCCCGGGGCCTCCTCTAGCCATCTGTTTCTTTTACTCTCATTTCCTTAATGTGATCATGTTTTCCCAGGAAGCCAGGCATAAATGCTCTCTGAGGTCCCAGGTACTGAACTAAACCCTTGAGTAGGAGGGAGGACCCAACCCCATGATGGAACCAACACAGAGTTCCAGCTGGTGGCTTCCTATCATGCATGTAAGGATCAAGGACTGTGTCTGGGTCACCTCTATTTGCCCAAATAATGCCTGACACATGGCAGTTGTTCCTTGCTGCCTCCCTGCCTGAATGAATGACTACAATACAAAGTAGAAAGTAACCAGTGAAATTACCAACATCCTTATCATAGTAACATGGTAGTGCCATGGGTTCAGGCCAGTCTCACCTCTCTGTGCCTCTTTTCTATCTATAAAATGGCCCAGTGACAGCACGACCTCATAAGATTGCCATGCAAAGCACTAAGTACATTGCCATCAGTGAAGCGCTTAGAACAGTCCCCGGCAACAATGCTATGCTAGTATTAATACCTCTTCATCCAAAATTCAGAGCAACTCTCCAGGAGACATCTGATCTCCCAGTTTTATAGAAAGTAGAAACTGAGGCTCAGTAAGGCCCTTCTGCAGGAAGGGGCCAAGAGAGGATCTTTAGCAGCCAGGAGCTGTCCCGCACTTAAGCCCTCTGCCAAAACCCGTCACGCTGATTGATCCACCAAGGGTTACCTGGCCTCCTCTGGGCTGACTCCACATAGCCACGATCATCCCGACCTGGTGATTGACACTAATAGGGGGAATGGAGCCTCCACAAATCCCAGTAGCACCCACACTTCACAGATTTCAAAACCTTTTCTCCACCTCACTGATTTTCCTCTTCACGGGGCAGAATGCACTCCCTGTTGACTGATGGGGATAGCTGGGACCAGAGAGGTTGAGTGCTTTGCCAGAGCCTCGTAGCAGATCAGCGGTGGAGGCCTTGGCTCCTGACCTCTGGTCTTGCCACGAAACTTCCAGTCCTCTTCCCTTTCCTGAGGTTCAGGGGACATGGTAGCAGCCGTACAGACAGTCCTGCAATAGAGTGCATGTGTGTGCGTGCGCATGCGTGAACCTAGCCCCATGGCCCAGCGGCCCTCCACGTGTCAGGGCATCAGCTATGGTCCTGGGGCCTCTCCCCGCCACACCTCCATCTTCCAGCTCTGGAGCCGCCTCCCAGCCCACTTGGCGCAGACGACGGCCTTGTGATCCTGCCTCCTCGTGTTCATTGGTCAGTGGTGGCTGCCTTTGGAAGGCCAGTGGCATTTGGCATTATCTCCTTCCCTTTAGGAAATCCACGTCACCAATTCTTCGCCTCTAAAAAATTCCCCAAACTTGCTGCTCCACATGGAAGACATTTTAATTACCCCAGCTGCCATTATCTGCTCCAGCCAGCTTTGAGCCATTCCCAGATAACCCCGCGTTAATCAGCCCAGCTGAGCCCCTGCTACAAGTCGTGTGTAGGTAAAAGCCTGGAGGTGAAAAAAGAATTATAATAAATTAATAGATAAGCAATCACAATTAATGCCACTTCCCGGCAATAACAGTTACATCATGGGAAAGATATTTTCATCTGTCATTCCTTAAGGCAATGTTTTCTGAGCTTCAGCTTCTATCCAGTCAGACCCATGGGGTGCTAATGAATTAGTCTATTATGTTATGCTGAATGTTTCTAAAAGGTCCCTCGTCGATACTGAATTCAGTGTGTCAACATTTGGCATCGAGAACAGCCACTCTTTGCCAAGCACAAGGTTGTGCACAGTTCACTGTGTACAGCTCTAGGGGTCTCAGCCCAGGGCAGTGTGGACAAATAATTGGAGCTGGACAAAGAGGCCTCTTGACCAGCTCCCTGTTGTCACCACCCTCATGTCATGGGGATGGCACGTCAGTGCCACAGGTCCTATAGCACTTGACAACTAAGTCCATGCTTGGGGGCCAGAAGATGACACTAATACTGCCCACCTCATCGAGGTGCCAGCAGCCTGTGTGTGCACCTGCAGACCAAATGTGGCCTGGAGACTGTGGGGGCTGATAGCACTGGCACCTGGGTCCCGCTCAGGGTGAACCAATTCATTGGAGCCCTACGTATGCTGATGTGTGGGCATCTTTCAAGTGTTGGCTGTTAAGTCTGTGCTGAATCGAAGGAGAGAGTGGGCCCCGTGCAGGGGCAGAGTGTGGAGTGTGCCCCCTGGAGGCAAAGTTCAGCTTTTCTTCCATGGCCCCAACAGTTCCACTCTGGCCCCAAGTCTGCATACCCCCACCTGTGCAAAGCAGTCCCGCGTCTCCCCAGACTCGCTGCCTTCAAAGACAGCTGGGAATGATCACTTGTTCTTGAAGCAGTCCTCAGGAAGGACTCAGCCCCTACACCCATGTAATTTACCAAGCCACTCCTAACTTCCAGCCCCTCTGAGAGCTCCTCCTGAATTGAGGATGTGAAACTCTAGTCTTGCCATCCCAGGCTCTTCCCAATGATGTTTAAATGTCCCAGAGAGCCACTGATTGGCCCTTCTTTCTACCTCAGGTAAGAGGAGGACCTGGAGCTCAGAGGGAGATACAGACATAGACAGTCATCGTCAATAGGATGGAATCCCAGAAGTCCCAGGAGAAGAGCAGAAATGCCTGACCCACCCTACCATGCTTGTGTAGAGCAGTAGTCAGGGGAGGCTTCCTGGAAGAGGTGACACTTGAGCTGAATCTCAGATAGTGGCCCACCCAAGAAGGATTGAGGAGACAGATGTTCCATGCAGAGGATAGAACAGAAGTATTGTTCTATAACAGATCTTGAATGATAGATAGGTGCCAGGGTCCCATGAAAGGGAAACCAAAGTAGTTTGGTTTTCCTAGAGTTAAAAAATGGGAGGGGTTTTATGAAGGTGCTTTGTTGAGGTTTGTAGACCACACTCTGGAATTTGTACTTTCTACCACTGAAGTCTGTTAAGCAGTGACAGGATTGGATTATCCTTCAGAAAAACCTTCTTCATGCTGTATGGAAGGCAACTGTAATGTGTGGTGGTTGTGAGCTGGAGGCTGGGGAGGGCTCAGGAGCTCCGCTGGGTCTGACACCCCTGGTCCCCAGCTTTCTAATCTTGAGCAAAAGGCCTAATTTCTCAGTTCCTGCTTCTAAACTGGGTGAAAGGTCCTTCCTCCTTCTAAGATGGTTTGTGGATTTAGTTAAAACATATAAAGTCCATTTAGAACAGAGCCTGTTGTTCTAAGGTTTATAGGCGCTCAGTTCCTATTAGCTCTTTGTCTTTATACTGAATGAGGGAAAAGGCAAGAATGCCGTCCGCTCCTCTAGTGCCCTAGTCTAGTGCCCTCGCGAGTGGCCCCAATAGCCATCACACCTGCTGCCAGAGAGGGCAGAATGTGAATGTCTGTCAAACACTCAGCATGTCTTCTCTGCATCGGTCCCCTTCTGCATGCACCTATTGGGCATTCCTTCCTCCTGGCAACCTACATGCTGGGTACTATTATCATTCCCCTTTCGCAGATGAGGCCATGGGGCAGCGAGAGCAGATGGAACTTGACCCAGATGGCCTGGCCTTGTAGCTGGTGCTCTGCCCTTGAGCACAGGCCGCCTTTGTAACTATGCTGACAAGTGGTGTGGAAAGAGGTCCCCCGCCATCCTGTTCCCCAGTGACTTCTTAGGTACCCCCACACCTACCAAAGCCAAGAACCCCTTGCTGTGTTTCCCAGACAGGAGGAACAGCTTAGTTTGTGGCTTCTCAAAGGGTTATACACCCGCCCCTCCAGATTCTGATGGTCAGTGCTTCCCCCCCCCCAAAACCGCAAAGATGATTCGAATGCATAGTTTGTATTTGACAGCCCCTGGGACTGTAAAACATAAGGGTCTTTGAATATAACAGAACAGTATACAGCCAGCTCTCCAAAGGGGTAAGAGTCCCAGCACTTGCCACTTCCCGTGGTGTAAATACTCCCTCCGTCGACATCAATCTACCAAGGTGTCCCCACGTGCTGAGTCGAGAAGGAATGCTAACAACTACCTCTCTAAGCTAGTGAGAGCCAACTCCAGCACCAGAGAAGAGTGGGGCTGGGTACAAGATCAGCTCTGCCCTTGACCAGCTCTGTGACCTTAGGCAAGCCACCTCTCACCCTGTCTCCTCAAGTATAAAAAGAAATACTGTGAAATGTCTATTTCCCAGGTGCACCACCTTCAGGGCTGAGCTCTGGGCCCCCTTCAGTCCCCCAAATTAAGGCCATGTGCATGTCCTCTGGCCAACTCCATGCCACCCCCTTATTTGCTGAAGACCCTGCTCCCCTCTTCCACCCCCCTTTCTCCACCCCAAATCAAAGCTATATTTATGTGGACAAAGCTGGGACTAAAATCTATCTTGCTGAAGGCTCAAATCTGCCCAAGCCTCACTCGCATTCCCTTAATCTCCAAAGAAGAAACAAACAGTGCATTCCAGAAGGAGTTGTTTTGGGACATCAGGAAAAACAGGAGACATTCTGCATCCATTAGGGACCACTGAGAAACCAGAGGGAGCCAGTACAGTGCGACAGAGCCCCAGGGATCTCATCCACTTTTCACAAACCATCACCCATCACCCTGAAGCTGGGGCTGACGGGGCAGCTGTCATGCCAGGTGGCTGCAGCCAAGGAGGGGCAGTATAGTGACCAGCCCCTGCTGTCCAGCTGGAGATGGAGTGGCTGGATCAGAGGGCCCTGGACAGTGCACAGACCAGAGGCCAGCATGGGGGCAGCCTGGTGAGGGCGTGTATGGAATAGGCAGTAGCTGAGGAGGGCTGAGACGGTGACCTTAAGACTCGGTTTCCTCCCTGGTGGGACAGGGCCAATCAGCCTGTCAAACTGCATTTTTCAAGAGGTAAGAAAACATGCCTTGTGCATAGACAGAATGAACACGTGGCAACGATGCATTCAACTCATTAACAAGAAGCCAGCAGGGTGGCAGTGCTGGCTCAAAGAGCGTTTGAGGGATTGAGTATTTATAGGTATTTGGGAGAAGAAAAAAAAATTACAGAATAAGACCGCTAGAATAGCCTGCTAAGATACATCATGGATTAATGTCCTACGGGGCACTAAAACACAACCTTGGGGATTTTCTTTTCTACAGACAAAAATCTACAAGTTGACCCAGAATCTGGGCCTTTAACCAGGCGCTGACAGGAAAATCAAACCCAGCTGCATTTGCTTGGAGAATTATCCATCCCTGGGGGCCTTGAACAGGTTTCCCCCGACCCTGACGGGCCACGGCCTCCCCTCCCTTGCCCCTTTGCTGCCTCCTCTTCCAGCCCACCCTGCGGAGCGGGGACTCCAGGGGTGAGGGGGAGCTGGGGAGCTGAAGCCCCCTGTCCTGCCCTTACGCCAGGGCCCACCCAGTGCCCTGGACCGGATGCCCGACTGCGGGTGTGGGGTTGAGAGGAGAGGGCAGCGGTGCTTCTTGAGTCCTGGGGAAGAACTGTTTGAACCTTCCTTGGGAGAGGAAATATTCCTCCAGCCACCCTTGGGGAGGAAGTGACCGTGGTGACCATGGTCAAGTAACCTTCATACTGAAGGCCGGGCTCTGTGTGGGAGCTGCCCACCAGGCCCATGAAGGGGGCCCCCCATTTTGCAGATGAAGAAACAAGCTGAGCCGGTTGCCCAAGAGGCCCAACAGGCAGACAGGCTTCCAGTCAAATGGGCTCTAAGCAGAGGGCACCTTTGGGTCACGGAGCCTCGCCCGTGGGCTCTGCGGGGTGAGGGGCAGAGGTGCGGCCAGCTTGAGCGGGCCCCTGTGACAACCCGCCTCTCTCTCCCAGGATCTGTACGCGTTAGACCTGGAGCCCTACCGCTACTCAGGGGTGAACTTGACCGGATTCCGCATCCTCAACGTGGACAACCCCCACGTCTCTGCCATCGTGGAGAAGTGGTCCATGGAGCGGCTGCAGGCAGCTCCCCGGGCTGAGTCTGGCCTGCTGGACGGAGTGATGATGGTACAGCAGCGACCAGGCCTGGGGGTGCCCCTTCTTCCTCCCTCCCTGTCCTGTCTTCCCCCCACCACGGCCCTCCTCTAGACTTGCTGTGTGCCAGCTAGACTTTAGGCTTGGAACACTCAGACACAGGCCCGTGCACGGGGAACCGGTCACTGAGGTGGCTGCAGGGAGCTGGGGTGGACACCGGGGTCCTGGTGCGGAGGGGGGGCTTCTGGCTGTGGCCAACCGACAACTGGGACTGCAGGAAGAGATGGTGTGGGCAGAGCCTAGTAATGAGGCCGTGAGATGGGGCAGTGGGGACTGGCAGCGGAGGTCTGAACTGCAGAAGTCAGGCATTGGGGTGTCTGCAGAGCAACAGTCACCCACCCAAGCCTGCTGCTCACCAGGGGCAGGACAGGGTCACCTCGGGGGCCTCAAGGCCTTCCCTTACCCTCCCTCCGCCCCTGGGATACTAAGGTGCCTTGGCAGCAGAGGGAAGGAAGACTGGGGCAGGTGGCCGAGGCCTCAGGGGCGTGGGAGCCGCTCTCAGGCAGGCCCTGGGCCCTCCCCTGCAGACTGACGCAGCCCTGCTGTACGATGCTGTCCACATCGTGTCCGTGTGCTACCAGCGGGCGCCCCAGATGACCGTGAACTCCCTGCAGTGCCATCGACACAAGGCCTGGCGCTTTGGCGGCCGTTTCATGAACTTCATCAAGGAGGTGAGTGCCCGCGCCCCACCCACGCCCCTCCCCAGGGTCACCTCCCTGGGAGCCTGCCCAGTGCTGCAGAGCTCAATGGCGCCTGATGGGAGTGCCACAGAATGGATTTCCAGTCCGCAACGAACTGGAGCGGGCGTCCTCACACCCCTGGGTCTCGGTGTCCTCAGATGAACATGGGCTCCACGGGACCAGTTTTCCAGGGTGATTGAGAGGCCTAAGTCCTTGAGCTCAGTGGGCGGTCAGCATTGCCAGCAGGATGCAGGTGGACTCAAGCACAGTAAACCAGGGTCTTTGCCTCAGCCTATGTGACCTCACACAAGAGGAGAAGGTGCCGGGTCTCCGTGCCCTCGTCTGTAGCATGGTGTGAAGCGCGCCTGTGCCCGAGATGCTGTGGGGACAGACGGGACTCCGTGGGACAGGGCCTAGTGCAGTGCCGGCAGCCCAGAAACCCCTTCACATCATGGGCCCATCGGCCAGCACCCCAGCCGGCTCCCTGCTGGCACTGGCTGTCCTGGCACCATATTGACTGTGAAGTCCCGTCGGAGGGGCTGATTGAGGCGGAGCAGAGAACCTGTCCCGTTGCCGAGAAGACGACACGGCAGCCGTGGCTCATTCCCCACCGCCACTTCCTAGTCCGCTAGAGACGACTGGTTTGTTGCTCCCGTTTTCCAGGCGGGGAAGCTAAGGCCAGGGCTGGAGTTCTGGCTCCAACATGATCTCCATGTGACCTGCGGGAGGTGATTAACTCTGTGATCAGCAGTAAGACAGGGTTAATGAAGGTGCCTGCCTCAAAGGGTGCTGGGAAGTCAGAGTGGAGCAGAGGCAAATCCCAGGAAAGGTAGATGCCAGGGCTGGGGGTGGGGAAGATCTGGGCAGGGTTACCCAGAGTCCATCTCCTTGGAGCCAGCACAGTGGATCCGGGCACCAGACTCCTGGGGACCTCATTCATGTATTCAGGGGCTATTGTGTGGGTCTGCTGGGTACCGGCACGGGCTATGCACCAGGGGTCCAGTGGGGAGAGAGAATCGCAGCGTGGGGAGGGCAGCCAGCCAGCAAGCATGGTGCTCGTGAGTGTGAGCCCATATGCAGAGGCAGCATCCTCTGAGGGCAAATGAGAGAAGCTGGCCGCCTTCGACAGCGGCCAGGCGTCTTCCCAGAGGTCCCAAGCACGTCCCTGCATGGTATGAGGCCAGGGAAGCGCCTTCTGCATTTTAGAATGATGCTAGAAGGAATGTGGGTACGATACAAGCTTGAGTTTGATGCCTGTGCCTTCGGAACTCGCTGGAGGCTGCTGCTCCCAGCTCTGTGGCCTCGGATAAGGCCCTGGACGTCCCCGAGTGTGAGTTCCCTAGCGGCAGCGTCACGGGGACCTCGGGCGCAGGCCCCAAGCCCCCAGAAGGGGCTGCGGCATCTGTGCCGGGTCCCTGCTCACCCAGCCCAGGCAAACTGTGCAGGAGTCCGATTGCCCCACGTCCTGAGCACAGCCTGGCTGGCCCGGGCAGCCAATGACCTGATCCCACAACCCCGGGAGCCTTCAAAGTAGGAAAACGTGGTTTTGCCACTTTGTTAGCCACACTTTAGTCATGTGGCCTTGGGCAAATAACTGAACCTCTCCACTTCAGGTTCTTTTCTTTCCCCGGGGAGATAATGGCTGGAGTGTTTCAGGGTAATGATCTGTGTTGAGGCTGATGCCCCTGGGACAGCATCTGGCAGCACTCAGTAGTCTGGCTGCCACTCACCATTCTGTCCCTCTTCACCACTGTCGCCACGGTAGGGTCTTGTTCAGTGGGTGATGAGTTTCCAGCTGAAAAGGAACTCGGTAGCTTCAAGGTCCCCCTCCAGATCACCCCTCACCCCTCAGAACGCTTGAAGTGCCGCTAGGAAGCCCTGAGGGGAGCAGACTCATCCCTGACCTAGGGGGCAGAATGGGGAGCCGCCTCCTCCCTCCCTGGGCTGCAACCCAGCCTGGTGTGCAGGGCCTCCTGCTCCCGGCCCGCCAGTGGATGGCCTCACACTCACATGCCCTGCAGAGCCCTTTCTGAAACACCTTTGTCTCACCTCCACTTGAGACTCTGGGACGAGGCCCAGAACGACCACACGCTCAGCCGGTTGGCCACGACCACAGCCCGGTGCCCGGCCTGAGTCCAGCACACAGGCTTCCTTTAGACCATTTCCTAGTGCCCATCTCCCCATCTTTCCCCATCTGACTGTGTGACAGTAAATCACTTTAAAGACTTGGCATTTTCGAGAGGAGCTGGAAAATACCAGGCCGGAGTTCAGAGCGTGCGAAGCATCTTTCATTTAGCGAGTCCTGAGCAGCGGCTGAAGGGGCAGGCAGGCGGGGAAATGTCATGGGGAGGAGCTGCCATCAGCCTCCCGCCCCGGCCCTGGCCCTGCCCACCCGCCCACAGACAGGCCATGCACCTGCTGGCATTTAATTCTGCTGTGGCTGTCAAGAAGGAAGGTTCCCTCCGGGGGCAGGTTGGAAGACACCTGCTGTGATTTCCCCTGGGGGCCCAGAGATAGCCTTAGGGAGTGGGGGCGAAGGGGGCGGGGGGGGGGACCGGGGAGCCAGCCAGAGGGAGGCAGAGCCTCTTTGTGGAGTCAAGCAGCCGCAGCTTCCACTTTCTCTGGTGGGTTCGCTCATGCCCACTCCATAGCCCTGGGCCCGTAAGCAAGCCCTACTCCACCCTGAGCCCGGCCCCAGCCCCCGCACCGCTGGGACCTGGGACCTGCAGAGCTCGGTCCCTCTTGGAGCCTCAGTGTCCTTGACTGTAAAGTGGGGGCACAGATGACACCCACTCATCTATGGGCGGGACTGGGAGGGGACCCAGATGAGCTCGAGCAGGAAAGGAGGAGAGGGCTCTGTGATGGGCTTCCACTGAAGCCTGAGGCCAGGCCCGCAGGCCCCAAGCGCCCCTGTCAAGGGCCACGCAGCGGGGCAAGCGAGCGTCCCTACCACCTAGTCAGGGCCGAATATGCCAGACTCCAGGCGAAGCGCCGGCTGCACCTTACTCATTTATTTGTTGGCTTGTTTGTTTTCATTTTGTACATTTTTTCATCTCGGCTGTAATCCCCATGGACTTCTCGCCACCCATTCCCCCGTGTGCCATCACCGTACTCCCGGCCGCCCCATTTTAGCGCCTTCCCCCTGCGTGGAGCTCAGGCTGGCTGGAGCACTCGTACGAGCTGCCCTGGCCCTGCTGTTGCTGGACAGCCCCTGCTCAGCCCCTCCTGAGCACATTACCATGTGCCCACGTTCGCCAGAAGGCTCTAGAGCCAAGTGTTTGGAGAGTCCCATATAGGCCCGCAGGGGTCTGTGCAGCCGTGGACCTGAGTGAAAACTGTTGCTTGTGAGCGAGGTTCCCATGGACCTGCAGCCAGGGGGAGGCGCTGGGCCTTTGTCAGACCCTGCAGGGGGTCCTGATTCCCAGTGTGTTTAGAACCCAATGGGCCAGGCAAGCCCAATGGGCGCCCAATGGGCCCAATGGGCGCCCTGGCTGCCTGCTCATACCCTGCCCCCCCATCTCTGGACAGTGGGGCCACATGAGCTCCCAGACTTGCTCCCTCCTCCAGTCCCCAGAGTTCCTGTGTTCCTGGGGCCTCCAGGATACATGGGCTCCTTTTTCCTCCCAGACACAGAAAACCCATACCCTTGGGGTGTTTATGTGCCCCTAACTCCTCAAAGGAAGGGAGGGGAGGGAATCGGGTTGCAGCAGCTAAAGGGGTGGGGCCCTAGGACCCCAAACTCCAATTTGATTCGCCTCTTGTTCTCTCTTGAGCTCTGGGGCACAGGCCCCCAGTGGGGCTTGTCCTTGTCTGTGATCCCACCTCGGGCCTGGCCGGTAGGGCCCTGCACAGGGCCCCAGGGGGAGCGGCCTGGAGAGCTGACACTCTCTACCTCGGGGTGGACAGACTTCCTGTGGAGGGCCAAGACAGGCTCCTGTCCAGCTGCAAGGCGCCAAGGCCACAGCGATGCCCGCAGACGTCTGGGTGTGGCCGTGCTCAGTGTTGACCAAACCCAGCGCGGGTCTGTTTGGGCCGATCACCACAGTTTGCCAACCCATTTGTTCAAAACTCAGGTTGTACGAGACACCGCTCTGAATATTTTATGTGACTTATCTCATTTCACCTTCATAGCATTTTGGTGTGATGGATACTGTCATTAGTCCATTTTATAGATAAAGCTTTAAGACAGAGAGGTGAAAAGAGATCCCGAGGTGATACAGCTACGGCCCGGCCCAGCGTCTTCGCCAGCAGGCGCCAGGCTGGGGCGGGAGCGGGAGCTGGAGGGGACGTCTCTGTCCCCCGGCTGTCTGGGGGCGCCTCGAGGTGTCCAGGTTCACAGCCAGGGCCAGCACTGTCCCTTGGCTTTTCCGCCCCAGTTCTGATTGCTGCCTGCTTGCCCCTCTCTGGGGATCTGACATGAGCTCCCCCTTCTTCTGACTTCGAGGCGGGGGTTCATTTGAGCGCATCCAAGATCGATGTTGTACACGAGAAGGTGCAAATGTAAAGCTGGCTAAAGAGCATAATAGAATTTATGGAAATCGCTGGCTCGCACCACAGCCCGAGCAATGATGGAGGTGATTATTAATTAATCATGGTCTTGGGGGAACAGTATCAGTGCAAGGAGTAATTAAAATGAAGCATTGTACAGTTGTACCGAATGATGATTTATGAGCCCAAGGAATTGCCTCTCTGCCCTCTCCCCTCCGGCAGGCTCAATGGGAAGGATTAACTGGACGGATTGTTTTCAACAAAACCAGTGGCTTACGGACGGATTTCGATCTGGACATCATCAGCCTGAAGGAGGACGGTCTGGAGAAGGTGCGTGGGCTCAGGAGAGGGGAATCAGGAGCAGCGTGGAGGCTCCTCCACCCCCCAGCAGGCCCCAGGCAGAGGCCCGGAAAGAGAGGCTAGGCCCAACCCAGCTGCCCAGCAAGGGGCTAGCATCACCTGGAATGGCTTGTGCTTCTCAGTCAGGTCAGATAGGAGGGGTGCAGAACCCAGGCGCCTGGCCACAGCAGACCCCACACCATCACCCCGTGAGCCCTGGGAGTGCTTAACCTGGGAAGAGGAATGAAAAGGCGAATATCCAGACATGTCTTGGATAAGAGAAAGTTCCTAATGACAAGGTGATGCCTGCCCGAGGAGTAGTGAGCTCCCTGTCACTAGGAGCATTTAAGCAGAAAGTAAGCAGTGAGTTCTTGTCTGGGAGACTGGAGGTGATTCTTACCCCTGAAGCAGAAGGATGCTGACCCTAGAAACTCTAGACTTCTGGGCATCTCTAATTCCAGTTTGGGTGAGGACCGCAGGCCCTCCTGGATCGGGACTCTCTCGCCCACCTGGCCATCAGAAGAAATGTTTGTGTGGGCAGATTCTGATTCCTGGGAACTGTCAGCGTGTTCTGTCAGAGTCAGTCTGCAGGCTGAGAGGGGATTTAACACTCGCCCCCAGTTGTTGGTATCCCCTGAAGCCTGGGCCAGGGACTCTGACATACCCTCTCCCATAGTGAGTGACCCTGGGGACCACCAGGACACCTCACCAACCTTGAGGCTAGGGTGTGAAAAAGGCCTGGAGCAGAGACCAGGCCACCTCTGAGGCCTGTGGGCCTTCAAGAGACCTTGCACGCTCTCCTCCCTCCCCTTCCCCGCCTGACTGAGGCCTCTTCCTTGGAGAGCCAGCCTGGCTGTTCACCTGCACTGCCGAGTCCTCCAGCCACCTCAGCGCCCACACGATGAGGCTTCCCAAAGCACAGCTCTGCCCTGGTCTGAAACTGCCCATGTCTCCCCGGTGCCCTCATGTTGAATCCAGCCCATCACAAAGTCCTTAGGCCTCCCCCAAACCCGCTCTCCAGGCCTAGCTCCCACTACCCCTCCCCCAGACATCCCCATTGTCCACACAGGCCCCCTCCTTCCTGTATCTCCAGACCTCCACATAATCACCCTGGTGGCACGAATGGCCTGGCTCCTTGGTTCATGCTTTCAGGCCCAGACCTGACTGTGCCCACGTTGAACCTGTGGTCAAGGTCACCCCATTCATTCCTAAATTGCCCATGGACTTAGGGAGCCTCTGTGCTGAGGAGATGTGACCAGAGAACCCACACCACTCCTCTGCAACTCTTTCCGGCTGCATAGAGCACCCGTCCCTTAAAGCCAAGAGCTGGGACTTCTGCTCTGAGCCCATGGGGGCCAGTGGGTCCACCTGTACAGACTGTACGCATTCTCATTAAGTGGTCTCCCCTCTGTGGAAACTCCCTTCCTCCTCTGGCAGTTCTACTGCAAATCTCTGTCTTATTGTTGTCTCTTGATGATCTATCTTTGTAGGTGGCCTGAAACCCAAGGCTTGTGATCAGACCTAACCCCACTTTGCATGCCCAGGCCCAGGGCTGACATTAGTAACTGATCATCAGTGCCCTCCTCCTGCCTGAGCACACCCACAGCATCCTCCTCCCAACAGTCCTCCCTGCAACTGATTAAGTGACCGTAACTAATACTCCAGAGTCCCTATACCCGAATGGGGCTGACCTGCAGAGGTACCACCAGAATGTCCTGGTCGTAGCCATGGATTGTGGGCTGAGAGCTTCCGCTAATTGGATCCTCCTCAATCTTAACTAATCTCACATCCCACAGCACCTAGTGTCTGTGGGGCATACAGTTGGAGCTCAATAGATGTTTGTTGGGGAGAGTTCCGGCTGTTTACTGGGCTGCTGGACAGAGATCTGTTGAGGCCTCCTGCACCCCGGGGCCCTTGTGCTAAGCCTGCCTCTGAGCTCAGCCCACTCAAGAGAAGAGCCCCTTTAAAACTCTCTGCTTGTCTCCCTTGGCTCCAGGGAACAGGGTGTCTACATAGACAGAGGTCCTGCCTGGAGGGGGCGATGAGCCCCCAAACGTGCATCTTGTATCATCACTTCTGTTTGCTAAGTTGGGTCACAGCTGATCCAGCCAGCTCCAGCCAGTGGCTTTGGGGGGATTAAGGCAGAATTACCCAAGCATAATTACATGTCTCTCTGCTATCTGCTTTGCACAGCTCTTTTAATGGGATGTTTGCATTTGGGCTCTCTGTTTAATTGATTAAACTTCCTGAGTAGCTCTAACGGTGCCAAGGACAGAGTAGAGAGGCTGAGACCTTCCTTGAGGGCAAGGAGCTGTGATGGGGCAGAGATAGGTCCAAAGAACCTTCAAGAGGTCCAGACATTAGAGCGCTTAACCTCCCTTCAGCCAGCCTTGGACCCGGTATCAGCATAGGGCACTATGGGGAGACACAGAATGTCACCTCAGCCAGGTATCTGCCGGCTTTAGATGTAGACCCGCAAAGCAAGCTGCCATCAAGCCCAGTGGCTTCCGAGACCTTCAGGGCGGGGTGTCCACATTTGTTCTGCTGTGCCCCATCCCAGACAGCTGCCAAGGCCAGCCTCCTGTCCCAGCCTGCTGGGCTCTACCTGACACGTCGCCTTCTCTGGCTCCTCACCCAGCCCACCAATGTTTAGTGAACATCTCCCTTGCTCCAGCCCTGCCCTGCCCTTGGGAAGACTTGAAGCCCCAGGAGCTCATGCTAAGGCTGAGACCCAGAGAGGGAGCAGTTAGGGCCCAGGGTCTTCCCAGAAGGCATGCAGCCTTCTAGCCTGGGAGTGACTGTCCCAGTGCAGGTCCCGCCCCGGCCTGCACCTGCTTCCTTCTGGTGCCTGTGCTGCCCCAGGCTGGTTTCTGCTGAGCAAGCTGAGCTGACTCACCTTCTCTCTGCACTTCCCCCTGCAGCAGGGGCGGGGTGGCAAGGGGGAGGAGGCAGATCAGCAGACTCCCTCTGATGGAGGGAGGCAGCAGGGCTCCCAGGAGGGGACGCTCTTGACATGGGCTGAGAGGATGAGCTCGCTGGCGCGGAGGTGGAGACTGAGGGCTCGGCCCTCTAACCTCTACCTGTCTGTCCACCCAGGTCGGGGTGTGGAGTCCTGCCGAGGGGCTCAACATCACGGAAGTCGCCAAAGGCCGCGGCCCTAATGTCACCGACTCCCTGACAAACAGGTCACTCATTGTCACCACAGTGCTGGTAAGAGTTGGCGGGAGGGCAGGAGGGGTAGGGTGGGGACACTGGCCGTTAGAGCTGGAGAGACCCCTCCTGCGCCCCACTTCCAGGCTGCTGGGAGCCTGGAAGACGGTGGGGAGGAGGTGCAGGAGGGCGACACATTAAGGATTGCATGGAAGGCCTCCGGGAGCTCTTGAGGCACAGATGCTCTGCCGGCGGCCGAGGGCCAAGACCCCGGGGTGACGGAGCAGCCACTTCCCAAAGGCAGAGGGGTTAGTCCTCTGCCTGCCTGAGACCCGGTGGCCAGCGCTTCTCAGAGGCCTGCATTACTGCCCCCCGCCACCTACTCCCTAAATCCCTCCCTGATGCCTGAGCAGGAGCCATGAGGGCTGGGAAGGAGGATAAATCTGCCTCTGAACCGGGTTTGGGGTCCACCGCCCCCATCTCAGTTCCCAGGGAAAAGGCCGCAGGGCCACCCAAGCAGTGGCCACACCCCACAGCACTCCCTGAGAGCCCTTGGCCACTCCTGCCCTTCCCTCCTCAGGGTTGTTCTTCTGACCAATTCAACCTCAAGAGTGGCTCTTGGGTCTTGCATGCGCTTAGGCACTCCAGGTGGGGAGGACAGACCCTGGCTACTGGCCTCCTGGGGCTGAGCCTCCTGGGGCTGTGTCCATTTCACATGCCACTTGCCCCCAAAGACCTTAGGGTGTCCAGAGGCTTGGCACATACCCTCTCAGAGACACGGCACTGCTCTTGGGGACCCAGGCCAGCCATGGGGAGGCACCTGCATATTCTGGCCGAAGATGATCTGAGGACATATCATGTGCTGATCGGCTTCTCCTTGTAATAGAGCCAGTGTATTTGTAAGGACCCCATGCTGAGGTTGTCCCCAAAAGAGTGCTACCAGGTTGGGTATTGAGGTAGAGAGAGGCTGCCAGGGAGTGGAATCTGGGAACTGGACTGGGGGGGTCACGCGGGCCTGCATGGTGCCCGGATAGGTTTGTCTGCCTGCCTCCCGTCAGCATCTCAGCCAGGCCTGCTGGCCCTGGGTCCTCCCTCCGGGGTGATTCACCAGGTGGCAGGGTGGCAGGTGCCCTGAAGCAGGGAGGGAATAACAGTGAAACCCACTCACCTGGAGTCCTAAGGAGGGCAGACGCCAGGGCACTGGCTTCCATGGCGCGACTAAGACCTTTAATTGTATCCACATCACAGGCAATTCTTGGGGCACTCATACTGGGCAGGGTGTGAAAACATACATCATAGAGATTTAAAGCTATAAACCCCGAAGCCCATAAAATGATGTAAAGCCACTTAACTTCAATAAACATGATGCTCAAATAAAGTGTTGGATGTTGGAGAGCTGAGGGGGTCTGGGCCCTCTGCTGATGGAACTGGGATTAGAGGCTGAAGACATCTGCCTCCACTTTTGGGGTGAGCCTTCCTCTGTCATCTTCCCCTCAAAGTATTCAGCTTGTCTTTTGTTACTGATTGACTTTTCATTAGCTAAAATAATCCAGAAGATTAAACAGAAACGAAAAGAGCAAATAGATTGGTGTGAAAACTGATAAGCAATTAAGGGAATATGGATGTGGATAAAAATAGAAATGATAAAAGGCAAATGGAAAGAGAACAAAATAAAAAGGTTAAGAGGAAAATAATAAGGACAAAAAAGAGGGGGAAAAAGGAATGAGATAAAAAGGAAAGCTATCAGGAAAGACAAAAATTAAAATAAATAATTAACAGCCCTGGCTAGACAAGGTGAAAAAGAGTAAAACCAAAATGTCAGAAAGCAAAAGGATAAAAGGGTGACAAAGCTAAAATATAAAAGGGTAAAAATAAAATAGTAAAAAGGTGGTAAAAGATTAAAAGCAGCGCTGCATAAAATGGAAACTATAAATAAAACACGTTCACATACAAGATTTAAAAACGGTAAACGGGCATGCTTTCGGAGATCAGGAGGAGGAGATTAAATGGGCTGAGATAATTCAGCTACAAAACAGTGGCCCAACAGGGAGAGGCCAGCAAAAAATAATTTACCCAAAGAACGCAAAATACACACACCTGGAAGGGCCACAGGGCGCAGCCTTACCAAAGAGCAGCGCCCTTGTTTAAGGCGGAAGACCGGGCTGCGAGACTCCAGGGCGTTTCCCACGCAGCAGAGAAGGAAAATCCAGCAGACGCCCCATGCTGCTGCTGTGCCTTCCGGGGAGCAGCTTCTGGTGGGAGTCCTGGCTACTGCAGCTCTCGTCCCCAGCAGCCCCTGGCTCTCAGGCTCCTGGGGTGGGGAGCCCAGGAGCCGTTCCGAGCTGCTGGGATGGGCGGTGGACCAGGGCACAGGGTGGCCTGAGGGATAGTTGAGAGGACAGGTCGCTGGGACTGAGGCCTGGCCTTTTTTTGGTTGCTAAGTTGTAGGACCCTGGAGAATGGCTGGGCCCCTCTGCCTCAGTTTCCTCAGCTGAAAATAAAGGTGATAATGGTTCTTCCTACTTCACTGCATTGAGAGGATGAATGATTTAATAACTATAAATGGCAGAGTGCATGCTGTTAAGTAATAGCTGCTATTACCATTATCATTATCATTATTGATTACAAACCCAGTGCCCAGGGAGCTCGGGCATAAGACAGGAGTCAGCGTGGGAGCTTGGGAGACTGCCTCTGCTCTGACCACGAATGTCAGCTTGAACGTCACTGAAGGCTGACGGTGCTGGGGCCACAGGGGTCATCTCTAAAACAGGGTGCGTTACCAATGTTGAACTTGCATGTGGGTGCCCGTCAGGCCTGGTGGGCAACGCTGGCCCCCACAGGCCCGCCATTCCCTAGGACTTCCAGTTGGTTGTTCTTCTAGAAGCGTTTTCTCACTGGCCCCTGAAAGCCTGCAGACTGTGCCTCTTAGCTCTTTTTTCCTACTGACACACAAATTCCAGACCTTAGCCACTGCCTCATCCCCTGCCCTGCTGTGGCTGAGCTCCTGGCCCTGGCAACGTGGTAATTCCCTGCCCCTAGGCCCTACCTGGGACCTCTGTGTGGCTGGCCACCTGAGGCAGCATCTGACCAACTCAGCCCACTGTGCAGTTTTGGATCCTCACCTGGTCTGCGGGTCCCGAGGTTCAGCCCTCCCCATCCCCACCGCCCAGAGGTCACACAGGGTCGGGGCAGTGAGAGCAGCCCAGACTTCCTTGCAGGCTGGGAAAGCGCTCTCACCCTTGGGGGGGCCAAGCGTGACACTGGCCCTTCCGCGGGCTCCGAGAAACTCCTGAGAAAAACCAAATCCGTGAAAGGACAGGTGTGGGGCCACCTGAAAGCCTGAAACTGATCCAGACGCTCCAGGGGTGCTCCCAAGAGCCTCAGTATGGTGTGCTAGAGCCCTGGGGTGCTCTCAGGCTGGGGTTCTTGAGACAGCTGCGCTTCTGTGGGGAGTGGCCCAGCCTGGCCCAGACCCAACCAGCTGCTCTGGCTGAAAACCCAGCCCCAGCTTCGCTTGGCAGCCTGTGAGTAGGGCCGGCACCTCCTGCTGAGCGCACTGGTCCCTGTCTGTCTGGAAGTGCGTTGTCAGGGCAACAGAGCTTTGAGTGACAGGCAGGTACCAAGGCAAGAGTGCAGGAACAGCCAATGCTTTGCTCTAGAGAACAGGGCCCAGACGCAAACCCATCCTGAGAGGGGTTCCTCTTCCTCATTCTTTGCCCCAGAATCTGGATGTGGCAGAAGCAACATCTGTATGGGGGTGACCCCCACCCCCAATCCAACTCCTCTCCTCTCCTATCTTGAGCCCTGGGGTTGAGTCCTAAAGGTGCCTTAAACTGGACAGAAAAAGGGACAGAACCCCAACCCTACTCTGTCTGGCCCGCAGGTCTGCAGCTGCCCTTCCCACTGCCAAAGCCAGAACAGCAGCAGCAGGAATCTGGAAGCCCGCCCTCCCCACCTCTCCCCACCCTCCCACCTGGCCCAGCCTCTGCTCAGGTTCCGCTCTTCCACAAGCTCATGAAAAATTCATCCGCCCAAACCTCAGTTCACACACCGAGAAAACACACCCGCCTCGCTCCTGGGGGCCCTGCTTTTGAAGGTTCAGGGTTCTTTGGCTGCTGGAGTGAGCAGCAGCACGGGCATGCGTGTGGGTGCATGTGTGACGGGGCCGGGTAAGCACAGGCGTCTGGACACGCACCGGTGCGTGTGTTTGTGCCTGCGCGCATCGTGACCCACATAGACTCAGCCGCCAGGGCCTGTGGCACCCTGCAGGGACACGGAAAAGCTAAGAAAGGCCTGGACGTGCGCTAGGAAAGCTGTCCTGCAAGCCAGCTGTAGGGAATCGGGACTCCTGGGCTCTGGCCTAGTTCTGACAAGCAGAGGCCAAGTCCTTGGGTCCCAGGCACTCGGCCTCCAGGTCAGAGCAGGGCTGGGCTGGCAGGATATCCAAGAACGTGCCAGGGATATCCTGGACACACTGACGGCCATGCCTTGTGACCACCTGCATCAGGGAGGGCCTCCAGAGCACACCTACGAGGTGGTCAGCCCTGGGTTCAGCCCAAACCCGCAAACCCTTCTTCCAAATCCACAGGTCTTTTGCCGGGAGAAGCTTAGCATGAGGGCTGGCTTTCACGTGGGTATAAGCGTTCGGTGAGAAACCGGACTAAGCCCTGGCAAGGAAAAGTCGGGAAAGGTTATATTTCTGGACCCCTGTTTTCTGTGACTTGTTGAAGAGAAATATTACCCCTGCTCCTACGGCTGTTCTCCCAGAGCAATAGGAGAGCGTGAAGTTATGAAATTGAGGGCACCTTCACTGAGCAATCGATTAGCAGCCGAGAGAGCTTGTGAATTGGCTGTCTGGACATTTCCAGTAATAAATTGTGAAATAGTCCATGAATAAGTAGTTGGCGGAGTTCAGAATTACCCCCTAGGAAATGTTGCAGGTCTAGAGACACATTACTAAGCTGAGCACCATTTTAATGCTCTGGGCTTTGGCTGTTAAATATGTATGCCATCCGCAAAGCACTTCCCGAAATTAATGGCATTTTACAGCTGCTCCGAAGGCAGCGTATTTATATGGAGATGTATAGATTCTGGGGCTGTGGTGGCTTCACAAATGAAGTGCTAATTTTAGAGGATAGGGCCAGGGAGGGGCGTGGAGAGAGGGTCAGGAAGTGAGCTAGCTCGGGGACCTTTTTCGAAATGGTTTTCCGCTGCCAGAGACGATTTTTCACCTTTGATGACATTGGGTGAGGTCTCTAGGCTGGGAAGATAGCTGCAGTAACAAGCCACCCAGCTCACAGAAAGAAAATAATGATGTTAATGATGATGATGATGACGACGATAATGGTCTCTGTTTGCCGGGCACTATTCTAAGTGCTTTTCAGAGATTGACTGTTTTAATTCTCAAAACAGCCCTGTTAGGTAGGTTTTATTATCATCCCCATTTTACAGAGAGCAGTAGTTTTGGCCAGGAATCGGCACATGGTTGGCAGTTCCCCTGGGGAAATGGAACCACATCTACAGTTCTTTGCTTTGCAACAGGTGCAGAGTGCACATTGTCATTGCATCGGAGCCCGACACAAAGGGTGGGTTGCGATGGAAACCACACTCAAGCCCAGCTCACCTGGGCTGGTTCCAGGGGTGGGGCGGCACATTCCCAGAAAAGAACTTGCACAAAGGCGGCGTTCACACTAGCCAGTGTCTCCTGTGTTCCAGGCAGCCCGGGCACCTTCCCTGGTTCTTGGACTCTCTTCTCCAACCTTGTGAGCTGCTTATTGGCTGGAGGCAGGGCAAGAGGCACTGGGGCCGGGCATGGAGTCTAAACTGAAGGACCCAGCTCTTCCCCAATTAGATGAAGAAGTGGTTGTCTCCGAATCCTTGGGGAGGCAGGAACCTGTTGGGGATACAGACACCCCCCCCCGCTCTGTCTCTGTAGCATCCCAAAGAACTGTTGAAAATAGAGTAAATCACTCATGGGATGGCATCTTGAGAGGTGGCCTTACTGGGGAACCTGGCTCAGAGCATCGATCCTCTGGTGCAGGAGGAACTTGGCAGGAGACTGCCAGTGGTTTGCTGCACCCCAGAAATTCCATGAGGATTGTTGCTTCCCAGCCTTAGGGGCCCGCAGTGTCAAAGTTAAGAGAATGATGAGACACCACCAAGTGTCTGCCCTTCCCATCAGTGTGTGCACATGCGCTTCCCGGCCGTGTCTGCCAGCTATGTCACCAACCATCATGAAGATTTGAGGTTTCCCAACATGTGGGGGGCTAAGGTGGCTTTGGGGAAAGTTATAGCCCAGAAAAATACCAAGGAGTCACAGGCGGGGAATATTGGAACGGAACTCTCTCTGACGCTAGTTCAACTTCTGTGTGATCACAGGCAACGTACTAGCATTCCCTGAACCCCAATTTCCCCTTTATCAGTGGGAATGCCCTCTGTCTTGTAAACTGGTGATGCTTAAACAGCCCATGAAGGGTCTAAATTGGTGCCGATGAGAAGTTGGCTCATCTACCACAGGTTCTGTGCGGGAATTTGGAAGTGAAACTGGGTGGCCGGGGCGAGCCGGCATGTGGGCGTGCACCTTGACCTGGCCCCTGGGCGATCCTGGGAGCTGGGCTTTGCCAGCACAGCACCCCCCATTGCTCATGCGTGTATGGCACAGGGCTAGGTGGGGCTGCTTCCCTCTGGCTCTTCTGGGGAAAGCGCCTCCTTGGTTATTCTTTGCAGGGTGCTAAGGGTTTGCGTCTAAATGAGAAACCAGACAGAGCTGTAGGCACAGCCTGTTCAAAGCCCTGCACTAGCCCCCATCACCTGGGAGGACAGAGGCTGACATGGGGCCCGTCCCCTGGGTTTTGACCCCTGAGCCGCCTTCTGAGGACCCCCTGCCCACCAGGAACCCGGGTGGATGCCAGTGAATGCCTAGAGCCTGTGATCAGGGCCACACCAAGCTGAACCCAGATGCCCCCTCTTGGCCAGCTGGGTGAGCTCATAGACACCCCTTGTCCTTGCAATTCACCTTCCACTTCTGTAAAATGGGATTATTAGTACGGGAGCCCAGAGGGTTGAAATGAAGGTTGAATGAGGCCAAGCTAAATGTCTGTGCACCCTGCTCTGCTGGCCGCCAGCCAGGCCCTCCGGGGCAGGTCTGTACTGAGCTGCTGTGTCTGGCAAGTTCTCACTGGAGCACAAGCTGGCAGTCCTGACTTGGGGGCTGAAAAGACCTTGGAAAGAGGGAGAAGTGTCAGGAGCACGTCAGGGAGCAGGCAGGTTACTTGATGACGGGCCTTCTGCAGCAGTGCTCATAGGGGTGCAGTCGTCCCTGCCCCTGGAGGACTTACAGAGTGCCGGCCTCACAGATCCTGGCTCAGAAGGTCCGGGGCGGCCCCAAGCAGGTGCATTTCTAATCGCCAGTGACTCTGATGCTGCCGGCCCCGCCTGGCCTGTACTGACAGTGCAGCAGAGAGCTTAAGATTGGGAGTCCATCCTGAATTCAAATCCCTGACCTGCCATTTGTACTTACGTTGTGACCACTAGAGAATTGATTGATATATACCTGGCCAGGCCCCACCTGTGTGAGGGACGGCCAGTGGTGGCCATTTGTGAAGCATAAAGTTGGCTCTTGGGAGAGGCGCTTTCCCTTTCCTGACGTGCAGGCCATTCTTCCAAGCCACCCCAAAAGTCTCTGCAAACACAGCAGCAGAGGCACCACAGCCCTGAGCTCCCCAGCGCCAGCCTGCCTGCCCCCACCGGCTCGGCCTGAGCCCCTCCCCCTCTCTCTGTCTCGGCAGGAGGAGCCCTTCGTCATGTTCCGCAAGTCCGACAGGACCCTGTTTGGCAACGACCGGTTCGAGGGCTACTGCATCGACCTGCTCAAGGAGCTGTCGCACATCCTGGGCTTCTCCTACGAGATCCGGCTGGTGGAGGACGGCAAGTACGGGGCCCAGGACGACAAGGGCCAGTGGAACGGCATGATCAAGGAGCTCATCGACCACGTGAGTGGGGCAGGTGCACCGGTGGACCTGGCCGACACCTGTGTGCAGTGAGGGGAGATGGCGGAGATCGAGGCTGGCTCCCTGGGGCCTGCCTCCACCACACTCCCCAACTCCCAGGCACTCCGCCACAAAGCGCACGGGCCAGTCCGTCCATCCGACCCAGTCCCCTCTGAGGACTTCCTCAGCTACTGACGCGCTGACAGAGGATGCCCAGCCGTGCCGGGCACCATGCAAACACCACCAAGTTCTGGGACCGGCTAGGCCCGTCATTGCCTTGAAGATTTAGCCCTTTGGGTGGAGTGGCAGGTAGGCCAGGGAGCCAGGGGCTGGGAGAAGGGGAGGGCGAGGCTGCTTCTCCTCCCGGCGAGGTGCCAAGGAGGCAGAGCCATACTCTGCCTGGTGGGGGGCAGCCCGTGGGGCACAAGGGGCCAAAGCGGGCAGCTGAGCTTTGGGGAGATGGAGCAGCGGGTGGGAGGGGTGTGGGATTTTTAGGACACTGGGAGGAAGACAAAGGAAAGCCAGTCTAGGGCGACCTCAGCTTGGGAGAGTCGGGACACCCCGATTTCCCTCACTGTCTCCTCATGTGTCGACTCTCTCTCAGCACAGTCGTGATACCGGAAAGCAAGGGGGTGGGCTAGGTGCAGGGCCTGGCCCTCAGCAGGCCCTGGCAGAGGCGGGTTTGTGAGATGGGTCAGCCCGAGATCACAGTCCCAGGCCCAGCGGACCTGGGGTTCAAGTCCTGGCCAGTAGACATGCAGCCAGGTAAATCCATCTGCCTCACAGAGCGTCCTCTGCTTCATGTCTAAAGAAGGACGAATGAGCGCTTTAGAGTGGCGGTTATTGTGGGAATTGAGGACCCCTTGGGACAGCTTCCTTGAGCTCGTGGCAAATGTTACCTACCTTTCAGCTCAGGGCCCCCAACTTCCTGGAGGCAATTTCTATCAAAGGCAGAGAGCTGATGGACACAGGCCTCTTATGTGTCTTCTGCCATGTATCCTTACCACCCGTGTTACTGTCAGGGAAGCTGAGGCAGATCTAGGTGATGGAGCAGGGATTCAACGTGGGGGAGTGTTTGGAAGCTGTGCCAGGAACCAGGGAGGAGGTGGGCTTGTGCAGAAGGTCTTTGCCACCTGAAAACTACCAGCCAATGGGGTTTTATTGGCCAGCCTCCCAGGGTGGGGGCAGGCAGCCTCAGAGGCTTCTGGTAGTCCTTCTCCTCTCGCTCTTAGAGGTTGGGAAGCAAAGGAAGCTGGAACTCAAAGCAAAGGCTCCAGCAAAGCCGTACCCACACAGGGGCTTCCTGGGTCCCAGGAAACTGGGCTCCTGCGAAAGGCTGGCCAGAGAGGCTAACAATACAGAGCACACAGTGGGCAAGACCAGCTCCCACGCTGCCCACTTCTACTGTGTGCTCCTGGACAAGTTTCTTATCCAGTCTGTGTCTCCGTTTTCTTATCTGTAAAATGGGGATGCCACTAATAGGTCTTCTCCATAAGGCTGTTGTGAGGTCTGATGTGCATATTTCACACATGTGCATGAAATACAGTGTTCACTGTATCAGTACTGGCTGTTATTTTTATTTTTTCATTAGTGATGACTCCTTCAAGGCTGGGAAGGGGGCTTCAGGAAGTCCCATTAACTTCCCGAGCTCCAATTTCCTAACTCGACAGGGAGAATAATAGTGCCTGCCTCGCCTCCTTCCCGCCTATAGTGAGGCGCAGAGGAGACAACTGGTGGGGGGCAGCCCTTAGATTGCAGAAGTCAGTGTAAATGGAAGGGAGTGGTGTTGTCACAGGTATTAGTAATAACTGTAATTATTATGGAGATTAGCTAGCAGGCCCCAGAGGCTTCTCCCTCTTATCTGCTTCTCCTGCTTCATGAGTGGGACTCTGGAATGTGGGCTCCCCATGGGTTCTGAGGCTGGGAGCTGGGCTGGGGAGGTGGAGGGGGTCCCCTGGAGAGCAGGTGCACATGCAGGTGAGAGCAGAGCTGATGTCATCTCGCCTCTCCTGGGGTCTCCAGCGACCTGAGAGCTTTGCAGAGCCCGTTGCAAGCGGGTGTTATCAGAACAGCCCAGCTACAGCCAGAACCTACTGAAGTGACCCACAGCTGAAGAAGAGGGGCTTCGGGCCTGGCCTCCGTGCAGCCCAGGATCCACCCGGGCTGTGGCCCCTAACCAGCTATGCAGGGGACCTTGTTAAACCCAATTCCCTACAATTGATGAACCTATTAATCCTAGCTTGGTGCCATTTTTAATAACATCATAACCATTTATTAATGTCGTCGTATAATTAGTCTTCTCACTAACTCATAGAAAGCTTGGTAAAGGCTTGGCAATATTATTACTTCCTTATTACGGATCTGAACGTAGACGTAAAAATGATGAATGCCTGCCTTTGCAAGTGTCTGCCCCCTGAGGCCCCTTTGCAGTCCCTGGGTGGAGCCTCTGACCAGCAGGACTTCAAAGTCCCCCAGACTCTGCTCTCACCTCTGTCCCATGCCTCACAGCCTTCAGGGAGCTAGGCTTGTGGAGAAAAATGGGACAGCTGGAGGTGCTGGCCCCACCCGCTGACACACCCACCTCCCCCAAGTCACCTCTAACCATGGGAACCACCAGCATGATTAGACTAGGCAGTGATTTCTCCATCCATCACCCATTCCCAACTGTCACTGTCTCCATTTTTACTGCCTGCTTTCTCTCGTGTCCCCTCTCTCCAAAGGCTTCTACTCAAATTACTCCCATGGGTTCTAGGCATTGCTGAAGGTATGAGTAGAGGTAACTGTGTAGCAGAGGAGGGGCTCTGAGGAAGGAGTGTGACTGGGTGAGAGGATCAGCCAGGGTGTCTGGTGTCTGCAGTGATGCAACCATCACCTCAGGAAGCGGCATGTGAATCACAGGTGCTGGACACTGACCCTCAGGCTCTGCTCTCATGAGTTTATGGCCCAGTGGGAGTGGAAGCCAGGGGAATAACCCAGCACCTCTAAAATCCAACTGCCACCAGTCCAAGGAGCAGAAATACCAGGTGCCACGAGCGTAATCATCAGGGCAATTTCTTCTGAAAAGTCACTCATAAGATGAATGAATTTTTTGGACAAGTCAGAGGTTTGGTTTGTTCAAGGACATGACTGCTATAAATCTGAGAGTAAAGACATTCTCAGAGCCTCAGTTTCCCTCTGTAAAAAAAAAATATAGGGTTGGAATAGATATTCTCGAAGTTCTCCTGTCCAGTTTTGACAGCCTATGATTTTATGAATCATCCTCAAAGAAAACTTGCATGAGTGGGAAGAACCTGCCAAGATTGGACCTTTCATTCTGAGTAATGAACTGAAACAGCAAAGGCTTGACATCTGTTCTACTCTTTCAAGGGAAGCTGGAGAAAATCATGCCTTTTTCAGGGTAATTGTAACCAAGTGTGAAAAGTAGTATTCCTGCCTAAACCAAAATTGAAGTTGAGACTTTTCAGCATTCCTGAAGCCTAGAGGAGAAAACACATCAAAATTCCCCATAAAGAAGGTCAGGTTGACCAGTAGTCTTACTGTTGTCAGCATAGAATGCCAGATGCTGGCCTTTGAACCATGTTATAACAGAGCACAAAGACTGGTGGGAAGTTCTGAAGGCTCTGTGAGGATCTGGGCTTGGAAAGAGACCCTAGTCCTATGCCAGCTTCCTCACCAACCCTGGGACACTCGTGATGAAACAAGCACTGACTACCAACACCTCGTGTGTTTGTCAGCAAAATTTTCATCCAATTTGCCATCAAAAGGCAGAGGAAGATTTGCCACCATTAAACTGTGAGATTCTTCCTAAGAACTCACTTGAGTCCCCAGAGACCAATTCCAAATGCTTTCTAAAACATGATGATGACTATGGGGTTAGAATAGGGTGTCTCAAAGCAGTACACTTCAAAGGGACAGAGCTGAGGAATTCTATTGTCATATAGAGAATTATATAGGGTCTGAGAACTTCAGAACTGGAAGGGACCTTCCAGGGATTCCCACCCTGTCTCCCATCCCACTGAGTCCTACCTACCGCCCCCCATAGGGTGCATACATAACTGGGAACTTCATGAGTTGAGTCTCTTACTCAGCCCAGTATCCCAGACTGGTACAGTGGGTCTTAGGCAAACACCCATCAGTCCCTCATAATCCTCTCTCCTTTTTTTTTTTTGTTTCCCTTTGTACACACCCTGAACCAAGTGGTCTGGGGATCACAGCAGCTGCCTGCTTTGCCATCAAAGAAGGGCAAATTCCAACTCACATTCAGAAATTTACAAAAGGAAGACCCCAGGACAAAACATCCTTTGTAACAGGCTCCTCCTCTCTGTCTTCCATGGATCCTGAAGCTCATCAAATCCTTGGGCTCTAAGTGTCAGTGGTCAGGTGTGGGGCTGCCACAGGAGGGGAAGCAGCGGGATGAGCAACACCACTGCCGAATGCTTGCTAGTGTGCCCCCCTCAGCCAGGGCCACCCACAGAGCTTCTTGGGAGCTGGGGTTCTTCTCATCCCAATCCTCCCCCCCCCCTTGAAGTCTGATTACAACTTGGTATCTGGTTCTTCTTATGAGATTTGTGGAGTGAAAGAGAGTGTCAACAGTCACCATTGTGCAAGCAATTTGACTAATGTCCAGCTCCCCCATTATACTACAATGTCCCTAATGGCAGAAACCAAACCTCCTTCAGGCTCAGCTCTGTATCCCTCGGGCTCAGTGCCCCTCAAAATAATGGATGGATGATGGTGGGTGGATGGGTGGTTGGTTGGTTGGTTGGTTGGTTGGTTGGTTGGGTGAAGCTGGACCAAGACCACCTAAAGACTCTTGCATTGAGAGGGGTTCTCAGAGGCAGCTCTCCCTAAACAAAAAGGTCTTTAGTGCTGGTCATTAGCGCCCAGCCTCCCTTTCTGTCCTGCCCCACTTGAAGAAAGGAAGTGATCATTTGGTTCACATTCTGTAATATAGATATCTACAGAAACCCCAGGGGCAGTCTCATCAGAGGGAAACATTATTAACTAGCAAATATAATGGAGGCTGAGATAAGCTTAGGAATGAGGAAACAAAGAAGTGATCACACAGTCCCAGTCACATAAAAAAAATAGGCAGATAAGACAAAAGGTCACATGGCCACACATACTGCCATTTGAACTGAGCAGATTAGGGCATTTCTATAGGATAGAAAGAACTTCAAGATGTTCCAGGGCCTAGAGGGGGCACCTCAGAACCCCCAAACTTGCTCACTCTAAATAGGTTCTGCCATCCACCGCATCAGTACAAAACTCTAGTGTGTAAGACTTTCAGTGGAAAAGAACTTTAATACAATTAGTGTGCAATACAGAAAAGGGGAAGGATAAAGTTTCCAAATCAAGCACCCAATATTACCCATCCCCTCAATGGGTAAAGGCCCAGCCAAACAGGGTTGGCCCAAAACAGGGCCTCTGAGACCAGAAAGCCTGCTGCAAGTCTAAAGCCCCTTCTGGTGGGGACCCATGGGAAAGGGGCAGGAGGGCCCAGCACATCTGGGACAAGAGGAACAAACTCAAGATAAAAGCTGCCATTGTGAACCTCCCACGGTCTCTCACCCACGTTTTACCCAGTCCTCAGCACATCTCAGCAACACGTACCCCCGCCAGGTCTCCTTCTGGCTCTCCATCCCTCCTTCCTTCTCTAGTCTCCTCTCCAGCTTCTTCTCCCTGCTTATCTTCACCCTTCCTTGGATGAGGCAGGGAACCTGGACCCTCCCCTTTTCCTGGGGACCACCCTGTTACAAAGAGAGTTTACAATTAGAGACGATCATTTTACGATGATCAGTTTACAACTAGAGATGATCCTGGAGGACTTGCTAGAAGACACAGCATACATGGAAGGTGGTAAGGGTCAGACAATGGGCAGAGAACGTTCCAAGTAGACCACAGGGTATGCAAAGTGTGGAGGTGAAGAAGGGATGTGACAAACTGGGAGCGCTGATCTGGAGTTTCAAGTAGGAGAGCAGTGGGCTGAGGCTAGAGAGATAGGAATGAGGGATTGGAGGTTTTTAAGCAGGAGAAGCTCAGCCCAAAGACATGGAACTTTAATTACTCCCCTCATTAAGACTGTGAAGGGCTAAAATTTATCAACATATGAACATTCCTAGCTGTAACCCCCGCCCCTTCCTCATCAGCTTAGTCTCCTTCCCACCCTCCCCCATTGAAGATGGCGCTGGGCTTGCCTGTTAATTTCTTCTCTGCCCTCCCCCGCTTCTCATAGAAGAGAAAAGCAAGCAGACGGATTCTCTGTCCTGCTCATGATGTTTGAAAGCCACAAATGAATAAATGCTTGTAGGTTGCTCAGCTGACAAAGCAGAGAATGGACCACGTGGGTCCCAGCTTTCATGGGGTTCCATGTTCTTCCCTCAGGCCATGAGCTTTTGGGGCACAGGAGTTACATTTGGGGTGCTTCCCCAGCACCCTGAACCAGGCCTGGCCCAGAAGAAGGCTTGGTAAATGTTGATGCTGAAAAGTGGTTAGTGACGTGAGGCCCAGGCAACAGACTAAATTTCACACCCTCACCTCCCTACGGTCAGGTAGGGGTGATCTGTCTCCCGCAATTCTTAAGCTGGTGTCTGTTTCTCTACCTCTCTCACTGCAGAAGGCAGATCTGGCCGTGGCCCCCCTGACCATCACCCACGTCCGAGAGAAGGCCATCGACTTCTCCAAGCCCTTCATGACCCTCGGTGTGAGCATCCTGTATCGCAAGCCCAACGGCACCAACCCCAGCGTCTTCTCCTTCCTCAACCCCCTGTCCCCAGACATCTGGATGTATGTGCTCCTCGCCTACCTTGGGGTCAGCTGTGTCCTCTTTGTGATCGCCAGGTAAGGGCAGTGCCTTCAGTGCTGTGGCTCAACGTGGCAGGGTTAGGAGCCAGGAACTCCGCACGCCCTCAGCTGTCGGCACAGAAGGCCGAGGGTCAGGCCACTGCTGTGCCCGCTTCTCCCTCCCTGGGGCTCAGATCCCTTCTTATGCTTTAGGGAACATTCCATGGCCCCAAGGCTTGAATCCCCCAGTCTTTACCTGTCAGGCCAGCCGTCAGTAGCCCAGGTACAATGGGTAGGCCAGGCCAGGCCAGCCCAGACCAGCCCAGCCTGCAACTTGGAACAGACTGTGACCTTCTGCTCCACACAGCAGGGGGGCACTCACACACGAGCTGAAGCAGGGCACAGGCCCTCCCCTGCCTGTCTGTGGCATGCTAGCAACACCCTCACGCACGGGCTTGCTCCCGTGAAGTGGACATAGGGCGTCCTTGCCGGCGAGGGCAGCAGCGGGCCCCTGGGGTCCGTGTGACCAGTGTCACACACCTGGTGTTTGCCAAGCGCCATGCTCTGCATCACAGTAGTTACCTTGCCAAATCCTTACAGGTGCCCATGCAGGGGAGACATGAGGTGCAGAGAGGCTCGGTTCTGGCCTCGGGCATTATAGCGATGGACTCGGGTCACCAAATATTTTACCTGCAGCGACATCTCTGGCTACTGTCATGTTGTCTTCTGCCCTGGCCTCAAGTGGTGACTGCTGTGCCCAGCTCCCCACGCCCCTCCCCGCTGGGCCCTCTGCCCCTCCCTCCAGGCTCCAGCCCCGCGCCTGCCCTGGCTCTTTATTCTCTAAATCCTAACAGGTTGCAAAGAGAGACTTCTCTGGAGAGGCAATTTGAGATCCAAGGACTTGGTATTTCAGCCTTTTTTTCTCGTGAGTCTTCTTTGAACGTCTTCCCTGCCCCCTCCCACTTCTCCCTCCTCCCACACAGAGAGAGACCAAAGGGAAGGATGTGAGAGATGAGATTGTCCTGCCTCGGAAGCCCTTTGCTGCCGGCTGGCCTGGTGCTGCCTGCTTGCTCAGCCTAGCCGGAGTGCAGGCTGCCACAGAGAAGCCTTCATTACGCCTCTTGTGTCTAATGGTCTAACAAGCCTTTGAAAAAGCTAGGAGCCACTCTCCGGAGCTCTAGCCATAATTTTAGCAGCTTCCAGCTGGCCTCTCAGCTCCCCACCGCCTCAAAAAAAAAAAGCTCAATCTTTTCCAGCGTCAGTTCTGCCCATTTGATGTGAGTCCCATCCCCCTCCGCTTCTCCTCGCCCAGCCTCTCTTCAGCTGCTGGCAGCCCAGCCTGCTTACCACCCCAGCCTCCTGGCCAGGATCTAGGAGTGCAACCTGGGGAGACGTTCTGGAAGAGATGGGTTTTCTGGAGCTGTTGAAATGATCCTGGACACCTGAAGAGAGGAGAGGGACACGGGTCTTGGCCACAGAGCCACGAACAGCATCATCATGCCCTTGTGACGTTAGCAGACTCACGCAACGTGACTCACACCTGTCCTGCCAGATCCTAAGGGGTGTTCAACGGGAGGCCATAAGCACCTCCACTTTATAGGAGCAGAAACAGAGGCTCAGAGAAGCTAAGCCATAGCCCAATGTCAGAAAGCTTTTTCTTGATGGAGTTGGGCTTTCAAGCCACATCCGTCGGACATTAAATCAGGAGCGACGAGCACCTGTGCAAATGGGCAAACAGGACACATAAGGCAGTGAAACAGGCGGGTGGTGGGCAGCAGGGAGCGGTAGGGACTGGGGCAGGTTGGAGAGTGCACCTTAGTGAGAAGGGCAGCCGCTGTCAGCTCCAACAGACTTCGCCAGGCAGCAGAGCAGGGTGGCACCGCAGAGCTCATGACTCTTAGAGTGATTCAGGCTTTCACGTGGTATCTCATGGCTTCCATATGTGGCCACCAGTTTGATTCTTCACGATACCCTGGGGTCAAGCCACACCATCAGTCGGGGCAGCGCACCTGCAGGGTGGGTGTGGCCCTCTTCTTTCATGTAGCCTGTTGCCACTCCGTCCCCTTCCCGGCCCCCCAGGCTTCATCCACCGCAATCTGCTCCTGCAGGCCCACCTGCCCAGCTCCCCCAGCTCCTTACAGTAGCCCCTCTCCCCAACTTTCCAGGCAGAGGGACCACCAGACGCACAGCTCTCCGAAGTCTTTCTCCAAACCCCTTCTCAAACGGCCTCTCTTCTGTCCGGCATCTCTTCCTGGTGGATGTCAGCACCTCGGGCCAGTCTGTGACTATTTCCTTTGCAAACTCCCGTCTTGGTTTGAGGCCTCCCTATGGAATTCCCCAACTGTAGGATTTCAGCTTCATGAAAACAAAGTTCTCACATAGCATTGGTGATGTGTGATGATTTAGTAAAGCTTTTTGTAGGGGGACACAGAGGACTAGACTCAGCGTCACACTTCCAGCACATCAGCACCAAGTCCCTGGGTCGAGTCTCCCTGCCAGGTCTCTGCTCAGCCTCTCCCCGCACTCGGCCCCTCCTCCTGCCCTCTGGTCAATTTGTCCACCTGAACTTGTGCCAACCGAAGACCAGATCCCTCCCCGATTGATCAGGGCTTCTCTTTCTGAGGAAGTGAAGAGGGCACTTTCTAAGAAGGCGGAATGTGCTTTTCCTGCCATCCATGTCTTTGTCTATTCAGAGGGAAAATCCAAAAAAGGATCTAGCACGTTCTTCTCTCCAGGGGACAGGATCTGGGCATACTTTCACTTTCTCGTTGGAGTCTTCCGTACAACTTGAATATCCTGGTGTGTTTTTTCCATTGTTTTTAAAAAGTATACAAGTAATTCAAAAGCCAGTTTTCCTTTTTAGCTGTTCATACAGAACATAGAATAGGCCTCGACATGCCCTGCTACTCCAATGCCCTTCCCCAGGGGCAAACCGCAGAGGCCAGACACTGGTAGTTTGGAGTCTGGCTCCTTCCAGACTCTCGGGTCTGCCTTTCTATACAAACCCATCTACACAGGTGGATAGCTGGGTCTTCAGGAGTCTATTTATATAGATGTGATCATCTTGTTCTTATTTTTATCAGTCTTTTTTTAAACCAAACAATATGTGCGGAAGATCTGTCCCTGCCGGTACATGTACAAGTATCTTGTCCTCTTTAACAGATGCAGGATATTCAAGGTGCGGTTGTGGCATTGTTTATTTAATCATTCTTCTATTGAAGGGCATCGAGGTTGCTTCCCGTTTTTTCACTGTTGCGAACAATGCTTTGATAAACACCGTCGTGCACAAGTGTTTTCCTAGGGTGGATAATGAGTTCAGAATTGCTAGGTTGAAGGGCATGAGCACTTTTAATTTTAAGACATTCTGCTAAATTACTTTTGTCCCCAGCAAAGGGCCCTGGCAAGAAAAAACAAGAAGCAAACTGGCCCTGACTTTTGCATCCCCTGCCTCCCCAGAAGAGCAAAGAGGAAGCTGAGGCGAAAAGTGGCCAGCCCGTTAATGTTTGCAAACCGCCTCTCATGGGGACTGGACCCTTCCTCGGCCCCCACGGCTCAGACTCACTGCTCCCCTTCCTGCCACAGGTTCAGCCCTTATGAGTGGTATGATGCTCACCCCTGCAACCCTGGCTCTGAGGTGGTGGAAAACAACTTCACTCTGTTGAACAGCTTCTGGTTTGGAATGGGGTCGCTGATGCAGCAAGGTATGTGCCCTCTCCTGGGCCCCTTCTCCCAG